TTGAGTGTTCACGCGGGTCGCAGAGCTCGAGTACGGAGCTCATGGGAGTTGTTCGAGTGAGATGGGTCTTGAGTGCCTTGCGAGCATAGCCGTTGTTTTCTCTTCGCATGAACCCGAGCCTGGCAATTCGATTCTTTTGCTCAAACAAATCGGAGGAAATATTCATCTCTATTAGCATAGTTCCCCGGTCGTTGCCCTGGCCAGACCCGATGGGAGAGAGAGCGGGTCGAATATTTCACCATGAATTAAATAGACGAGCTCAAGTATTGGGAGAACTCTCGCGACCGATGGGAAGAATAATCGATGCTCTTTTTAGGGGATCAGGGATCGCTCGCGCATATTTTCCCAAGAGAGACCCGTCATCGTGCTCTTTCGGGCTCGAAGCTCCCGCGGTGGAACACCAACGGGAACGATATATTTCTTTGTTTTTCTCTCACGCTGCTGCTTCCGGTGAATACGACGGCGGCCACGTAGACTAAGCTCCCCGGCTTTTGACCTGGGCCGAAACCAGCTCGCGAGCGGGGAGGAATCTGTGGCGGAAGTCCCTAAGGACTAGCTCCCTTCTTGACGTCATGTCGTGAACAGCGGAAACGGCTCGAGATCATAAAATCCGAGATGAGGCTCAGCTCGTGGCGATCATGTCGTAAGCAGAGGCCCCGCATGATCACGCCGGCCTTCGCACCCGAAGGAACTGCCTTCTCGAAGACGGCTGGGGCTTGGTCCTGATCTTTCGATCGGGGCCACGACGCGACGTGTCGGCCAGATAAATATGTTTGACTCCCTGAAAGCGTCCGTTGGGAGGAGCGCTGCTGGATTATGGAAATGTGGCTCGCGATTTTCATGGTCGTAGCATTCGAAGGCAGATTCGGCTGCGTTTACGTTGCGTGAAGCTCGCGGAAGCTCGTGACTTCGGATACCGAAGCTCTGTGCGTCTCTCAGCAAACGATCCGCTCCGACAGAGCTCCCTCCACCCTCCATACCCTGAATGGAAAGCCTTCGATCGCAAGAACGAGGTCCGCCCTGCAGGTGTTTAACTTTACTTATTGTGACAAGATCCTTATGACGCCGGTCACCGTCATCGGCTTTCTCCATCTGCGAAACATCGGTCCAGATGGCTGGAGCGGAAACGGAAACTTTGTGATATTGCTCGTTGCTCCAAGAGCTTCTCGTGGCTCTGTTGCCGCGGGTCAATGGAGCAGGACCCGTGACATCGCCAAAACGCTCAACGAGTTCCCGCGATACGTGACAAAGTTGATTCATGGGTCGAATGAGATGGTAAACTGGGTTATTTAACGCCCACGACGAGTTCGAAATTGAGAACATCGATTGCAGATCCCGTTTTAGCATCAGATTATTTCCTCTGATGATATTCCCACGCTCTGCATGATCCGACAAGGCGGTGGAGATCTGTCCTCGATCGGAGGTGATCTACAGGGAAAATTCTCCTACCCGTTCTGAGTCCTTGTGCCTTCGAGTCTCATGGCCCGTCATTCATGCCCCAAGCATCCTAGTTCATGGATCAGCATCATTCAGCCTGAATGTTTAAAGGCCTCATTCCAAGTGCCCCTCGATCTGAGCCCTCATCTGTGAGGGAGGTCTGAATCGAGGAGAATCCCGAGAGCGGATCAGAATCCAGCCGGAATTACCTCATTTTCCGTAGAATCGGATTATCCCATCGCGACGATTCGCGTTCCCTTTGCGAGAGCGCGTCGGCATCTTTCAATTATTCGCTCTCGAGACGTCTAGTCTGTCACACCTAGACGAAGTTCAGCATTTATGTTTATATATTAAAATATCAGGAAGATGATTATTTGCTTTCCCCAGAGAAGAAAGCACAGCGGAGGACCGTCTGCTCGACACTACAGCTTTGGAAGTTTGTCTCCCTCAACTGTATCGGGGTAAGTGAATCGAGACCGAGTACTACGCCAATCGTGCAGGGCTGCGCTCATTGTTTGAGTTCGCATGAAGGATGGAGCTGCTTCGAGGGAACTCTGGTCGGGAAACTCCCAATTAGAGGAACTTGGCAGAGGAAGGTTTGCTCACCCACGTAGGATGACGCGCGATGCCGCCTACGTATCGATTTGTGCGCAGCCTTGCTCAAGCCTGCATAGATTGCTTCTCTAGATACAACCGACTCCCTACATGTGGCGTTCACCGCGCACTTCCTGACATTCACGTAATTCCGTGTTCTCAGCAGCGTCACTGCGAGCAATATTCGCTGGGGGAGTCCCGCTTCCTTGGCCCCTCGCTTGTTCCACTGCGGCTCCAGCAAGCGGAAATCGAGGGAATCGAGACCTGTGGGACTCTGTCTGGCGAAGCAGCTCTCGGGACGCGAAAGTTCGCGGAAATAGTAACTTGAGTGATAAGTTCTCGGACCGTTGCGTCGATCCAATGGCTCTCGCCGTATGACCCGAGACACGAAGGGTGCCCAAGTCGCCTTCCGGGTCGAGGACCCTCAGCATCCGGCATCGACTCGTAATTTGTGGAAGACGTTGCCGTGCTCCGGCTGCTGTCGCTCCTGTTCGACCGTGCTATCCTGGTCATACTCATCCTGATTATGAAAGTTGCGATTTATCACGCGGGGAGAATGTCAGCAGTCGTTCACCCACGCAAACCCGCGTCCCTCAACCTCGGGGATAGTCTCGGATGAGTTTCGTTTATTGAACTGAAAGTCATGCTCTCGGATGCGACTCTGCGGAGCACAATCACTGTCCTTGACAGCAGGATATCACGTCCGTGTGTTTAGACGCTCTCGAACGTGTTCCCACACCCGTTTCCGGCGCGGCCTTCCTCCCGTTGACTCGCCTGAGCGAATACATTCTCTCTCATCCCTGACCTGACGGATTTCTACAGAGTCTCAGGTGTCAGGCCGGTCCTGGAACTCAATCCGAGCAGGATATTATTCTATACTTATCCATTGAGCTCAAAATCGGCTGCCGAATCCTCCGGATCCCTCCCCCTGGCGTTTCTGCTCGGCTCTCGCCAAAGGTGTCAGCTTCGATTGACCCCTAGCGGAATCGGCCCTTCAGGTCGGCAAAAATTCGATCTTCATGTCAGAATCCTGGTCAGCGTTGGCCCGATGGTGCGGGCATAGAGCCAGAGGAGTGCTTGACGAGAGAATGTTTACAAAACACGCGCTCTGGCGACAAACGATTTCCAGCTCCTAGGTCCTAGAGTTTTCTGCTCGCTCCATTGGCAGAGCCTAGTGGGACTCACTTACGGGAAAACGAGTCTTAGTAGCAGCAGCATTCCCTCGTAATCCTCGTTTCCTTCCGCATCTACTATTCGAGGCTAGCTAGGCAGCTTTGGCGCGTGCAAGACGCCCGATCTCTAGTAGACAGGGAGGATTCTGTCATTTCCCACAAGGGGCTCGGTTGGACGCGGACATTGCTCGATGAATTGGGACACAATCGCGAGCCAACGAAGGCCCAGCGAGGCAGCTAGTCCGTCTCTGGAGCCTGGTGCTCGCGATTTAGTTGCGCATCGGAGTCAGATGTCGACGTGCTCATTCCTGGGAGGAGAAAGGAAACTCCTAAATTCGTAGACGGTACTTCATAGAGCGTCCTCACGGGAGTATCTCAATCTTCGCCTATGGAACGCGGGCTGTTCGATACAGCCCCGGCTTTTGGTGTGCACGAACGAAGCATGTCACCCAGCCATCTCGCCGGCCAGATATCACCGGCCAGATATCACCGGCGAGCTCATCGTGTCGATTGAGTAGGACTAAATTACGGTAACTGTGGATGCAATCCTCGGCTCGTGTTTATTCGAGCTATTCTTCGTTCGAGACTCTATATTTAGGAAGCGACAGTTCACAACCAAATTTATAGCGCTCTCTCGGCTGTATATCTCGGAGGAAAATAAAATCAATGACCGCGCACGGTCCAGAGCAACGGCCCTCCACGGGAACAAATCGGGAGCGACGCGATCCACTTCCAGCGAGATAAAGGCGAGACCGACAGTGTCCCGAGGTATCTCGAGATAAATTCGGGACTTGGGGAGTATCAGTATGGCTGAGCTCATCTGCCTTGACGCATGGTGTGCAGCGATTTTCTGATTCTGCGCCGAAGTGAACGGGATCGATATCCGTCTCGCGAAGTCCGTGCGTATGGTCCTGCGAACGTGCTCAACGAATAAAGAAATTGGATTTGCACGAGCGGTGTCAGCCAGAAATATTCCAATACGCTCTCCTAAATTCGATAGTAGAAGCACCCTTGAGAGACATTGTTGTTCGAGCGGCGCGCAGGATCTGAAAACCTCCTCCTGCGAACGTGCAGCTCCTATCAGCTGAAAAAGAGTGAGCGGGACCGAAAGGATTGGAACAATGTGCAATCTGCGAGAATCCCAGGAGCATTTCTCTCCCGAATCGGGCGTGCCCGCGACATGGAAAGCTCGTCCGGTGAAGGAAAGTCGTTCAAATCTTCGAATCGATATCTCACGGCCTAATTTCTGGGGATCTGGGCCCAGATGAACAGAGGGGGGGGGCGACGATACGGCGCTGCAATGCCAATCGGAAGAAACAGAGAGAATCCTCGTTCCGACCGTGCGGACGGGTGTGAGCTCGAGCGAGTCCATCTCCGAGCGAAAGGAAAAGGTTTTCTCCATGATGATATCCATAAAAAAATGACATCGGACTCACGGCGACCGTAGGTCCTTAGAATCTCGGCGAAGCTACCGAGTGTCCCGCCGCGGACGCTCTCCTTAAAAGAAAAACCGAACACTTCTCTGATCCGAGGAATCTCGAGACCTGTCATATTGGGACAGGGAAGATATTTTCGGGGAGCAAGTTTCTTGAATATTGATATGAATCACGCCGCCCGTGCCTTCTCTGTAGTGCGATAGAATCGAGGAAGACTCTTCCTTCAAGGTGAAGGTCATGGTCAGGCTCTCGTTCGAGGCCATCCCACCGCTGCGCGGCCACTCACTCACTCACCCTCGCACCGATGATGTCAAGAGCAGCCTCGTAACACTCGCGCGCTCACAGAGAAGGATGCGTCAAATCCAAGATGGCGACCTCCGTGATGTCCTTTCGCACGTCGCGGATTCTGACAAAAATTTTAATTCGTGATGTTCAGGGCTGTCCGAGCCGGCGAACGCTCTTCGGAAACATACTCGGAGCACCGGACGACACATTTAGTCATCGAGATCGACGACTTATAGGTTACAGTCAAGAACAAATGTATGCTGTGATTAGTGAAACCAAAAATTATCCGGAGTTCCTCCCATGGTGTACGAAACTCAAGAGATTCGATGAACGGGATGACAGCGAAAAAGTGCTAATGACCGTGGGATTCCCACCGTTCGAGGAGACTTACGTATCGCGGGTGATATTCGAGGAACCTTCGAAAGTCCGAAGTTTCTCCGCAGAGGGCACGTTTTTCAAGGACTTGGATGCATTGTGGACGATCGAGGACTGCGGGAAGGACTCATGCATCTTGAGTTTTCGGATCAACTTCAAATTGAAATCTAGACTGCACGCTCCGCTCGCAAAGGTATTTTTCAAATCAACCGCACTCACTATGAGTCGGGCTTTCATCGGCAGAGCGGGAGACCTGTATGGAGAGCCATCGTGTAGGGAGAAAAGATTGAAATTATGAGAATAAATTGTAGACACTTGTTTTTCCGAACGCGTGTTTTTTTCCGAGAACTCTCGCAAGGCTGGCGATTCAAGCAATCTGAATCTTTCTCGCGAGGGCATGTTTTATCTTCCCGGATCGACTCAGCCGCCAGGACAGAAGTTCCCAAGTCTCGGTCAACCACTTGTTCGTTCAAGGAGAGAGCTCTTAGAGAATGACGTTCGTTCTGTGCCTCTCTCTAAAACTTCCAAGGTTTCGTGGTCTCGATCAGAACTCTGAAATCTTTCAAAAACCAATGGAACTCCGAGTGTTCACAAAGTTACGGATAGAGGGCAATGCCAGCTCTGGAACGTTCCTGTCGGAGTCGTCGCTTGTTCAACAGTGTCCTGATCGGAGGACCTCGAATCTTCTCTCGAGGGAGGTACCAGATCCTGCTGCAGGAATCAGGATCCTGCTGATCCTGATTTATCGAAAATCCACTATTTTTTCTATTCGATTCTAGTCGAGCCGCGTACTGAGCCAGATCCTCCTGGCTCCCAAAGAGAGTTTCCCTTCCCGAGTTGCCTGAGTCAGGGAAGCGAATTTCCTGGTCGCAGACAATTCTTGACGCCTTGAGGAATTCTGCCGCCTGATATCGTACCATCACAGATTCCCCCTTCAAATAAGAGGAATTGGGTTCTGACACGAGTCCATGCCGGAACATTGACTGAGCCTTCTTCCGCGATTAGCTTCGAGAATCTGCCCGTCTTCTAACAAGCGTCTTCGGCAAGAATATGAACATCGCATGGACAAAGCCCTCTCAGAAGATTCGGCGGAGCGTGAAGCTTCTGCCGCCCATTTTCTGATCGGGAGACAGCTGTTTCTCCTGCGAGCTCCTGCTCCGTTCAAGGATGTCTGTATCGTGATCATATTACCGGAGAAACCAGCTAGACAGCGAGACAGAGTGGATAGCGAATTAGGTATATAGCGCCGGAAGTGCCAGCATCTCAAAGAGGGAGCACTAGCTCTCCTCGGAATGAGTTACCGAGTCTCTCGGGTGTGACTCCGGTTCGTGACCGAGGATCCTTACAGTATTTTCAGACAGAATCGAGCAGTCGCTGCGGACGCACAGGGAGTTTGTGCAGACAAAGGCAGAATTGAGAAGCAGCTAATCTCGTGGTCGATCGCGTGAAGGAAACGAATATCCGTTGCGTTTCCGTTACTAACCATCTTGTTTCCTGGACCACCGTCGCGTGAAAGCGTCGCAAGCGAGTTTCACCGTCAACTCTAACACACTCAGGAACACTCAATGAAACTCTAAACACGACGCAGTAGCTTGTCTTATAATTTTCAGGGAATTCCCAGCTACTGTCTCCGAGCCTCCACCCGCCACCAAAACCCTGCGTTTTCGCGATACCGTGACTGGTGTCCACCCGGAGCCCGAGATTCTTAGCCTGCCTCCCGGACTCATCCTCATTCTCCATTCCATGTCATTCTAAAGTGATCGTTCAAATTCTGGAGCCCTGTTCGCTTGAGCATTTCGGTTCTCTCAGAAGCCTGGAGTCTCCCCCGTCTGATGAGGTAGACTCCCGGGCTTTGACATCACACCGAGCGCCTCGCTTACCTCCCCTTCCGGAAAGAGAGGGGATTCGTGGCAAGGACCTCCACCGCTTCGAGCAGAAGTCAGTCATATACTTTCTCAGGTATATCTTCTATTATCCGTCTCAAGCCCTATTCTTCAAGCCCCATTTCCACGCTGAAACCTCACTCATGATTTTTTTTCCTTCCGACGATGGAGTACTTATGGGGGCAGGGCTCGCAAATTCTCAGTCCTGTTCAGAAGTACTTGAGCGGTCGGAATTTCTGCGAATCCTGACAATCGCTCTCTCTTCAAGGAATACAATGTCCGAGAACCCAGTCGTGCTTTCGCCAGCTACAAGAGAGAGGCTTCCAACAGCTATGCTTTCTCACGAATTAATGTTGGGCTCGAGCCACGTCCAGCCGCGTAATGTCTGCCTGAGCAAACTCGGTCCCATGGGAGGTCCAACGCCTAAGCCCCTCGCCGACGAAGGATCTGCTCCCTATTTAGGCGATGCGAATGCATAGTCTCGGGATCCGATCTATCACGAGTTCTGCCCGGAGAAGTGCTTCTTACTGCCCGGAGCAGTACAAGCGCAAGTTCGTTCCGCGAAATCCATTACTTCCCTTGCACGCACTGTCAGACCTAATTCCAGGGTCCTCCCTGGCCCGGTGCGCCCAACCTCACGAAGGTTATTTATCCTCAGCGTGCGATCGCACAGAGGTGACTCAGTGGAACACGGCGAAATGCCCGGAGTCCGAACCTTTTTCTGTCTGAGGTGCTTCCCCAGCCGGGAGAGAATCGGAGCTCCGAATGCTCGTTATGGAATTGAATTCCTTCGTCTCGCTAACACAGTCGACATTTCACTTCGAGTTGATCCTGATTCCGGAAGCAGGAGATCGACTTTCCATCAATGGAACAATCATGATTTTTTGAGTGATTTTCGGTGTGAGCATCATTCCTACACCAAAATACTTTTGATCAAGCTACTCTGTAGCCTCGGAGTCCTCAGGCCGACCGGCTTCCCGATCCGCAGGGATCTTCCTTATAGATGAGTTCCCCCAGATTAGAATCTCCCGTCGAAGTATCATAGATTCGAAAATATTTTTTTCCACTTTGAACAGAAAGTGTTGAGAAGGTGGTCCTTCTCCGTCTCTCCCAAATCGCTGATCCCCTGAAGAGCTCAGATCGGCCGTGCGAACGGCAAATCTGCTGCAATTTCAATCTCGGAATAATTTTGATAACTTTGATCATTTTTGATAATTAATAACTTCTTCGTAATAAGAGTATCCCGCCTGGAAAACTCTCATCATCTCATAGCGTTTCACGCGTCGAGATTCTCAACTCGAAAGACACCGAGGTGCAAGCAATCAATCGATCAACCAACCGCGCGCGACGCACCGAACCGAACGTGGATATTCACATCGTACTCGACACGTATTCCCTCGGTCCGGAAGTTTCCTCCTTCCCCGTAAATCTCATTCCTCCGAATTTCTCCCGCGCGTATCCAGCCGCGCGCCTCCCCCACGTCCACGGGGCTGATGCGAACACCGAGAACGATAGACTGTTGTATTTTGCATCCGAAATTGGAGTACTACATACGTTATGCGAAAACCAATCCATTGGGTGGGAGCAATCGACGGCACTTCCTGTTTCGAGCAACAGTCGGGGAAATGCCGCGTGGAAACGCGCATTATCAAATCTTGTTCCGAGCTCCAGTAGTGAGGATCATTCCTTTTCAGAACGACGGGTCGAGAACCCCGGCAATCACCGAATGAACATCGTTTTATCCACTGACCCCAGAAACCACCGTACTTACATACCGTCGCCTCTTGTCGCGTCAGCAGGACGGAAAATAACTTTGCGAGGTTCGCATGGTGAAAGCAATCCTTAGCCTGGATCTCCTCCGGTCGGATCTTGAATCATTGCCCGGCTACGCATGTCGCTACGTTATACTATACGAACTGAGTCCGGATTGAGACGTGGCGGAAATCCCTCCGAGCTGCTCTCCCTTTCCTCCATCCTTGATGATGCCCGCGAGAAAGCTATTATGGAAGCGTACACGTCGACTTGCGAGCTCGCTTGCGGGGATCTTTGGCTCGTTGTGTAAACAGTATCATGCTGCTGTCCTGTCTCCCATAATACGGCGAAACATCCGTGGAAGAATTCCACGCGGTAATGCACTGAAACCAGCTAAATTTGCCCGGGAACGGATACGCCATCGTGTTTCCGCTCCGCGAGGATTGATTCCTTGCATTAAGGCTCGCTGGACGACGCATCCGGATGAAGATTCCGGAAGACAGTAATCCTACCTGCGAGATCCGGAGCTGTCTTGTCAGTAACCAACGATAGAGTCGACGTCGCGTCGCTGTGGCATTCTATATATCGAAGAAATGATATGCTGCATCGAGAAGCCTATCGAGTCATTCCGCGCCTCCGGGGTGATGAAGGGAACTAAGGCGCTAGACTCGTGAGCTGCGCTGAAGTTCTCTCGCGACCTCGACCGTGAATATCAGCCCCCGCGGTTCCTTACCTAGAAATTATTGCCGACATTCTCGGCAGAGAAGATGCGAAGCTCGAACCGTCCCCTTCGAGAACTCCCAGAATTCCTGATCAATCAATTCATCCGCATTCAGGGACGGGGAATCAGGAGAGAAAATCAAGGTTCAGGAGGCAGAAATACGAACACGATTGAAGATATCCTCACACAGAGACCGAAATCCCGCGTATGCAACATTGAAGGTGATGCGTTGTGGGTTGTGGAATACGGGAACGAAGATGAAGGGAGAAGAGTCGATGGCCTGGAGGAGCGGTCCTCCAGGCGCTGGTACGCAGTAGACACCAAACAACAACAAGCCAAAAGCGCGCTACATCTATCAAACGCTCTATATATGGCTCCGGTACAATTTGGGATACGCATAGCCGACATTTCTACCTGTTTACACACGCAACTCGGTTTTCCTTGCGGAGCCAATCGAATATCTGGTCCGCGAATTATGCACACAACATCAAAAACTCCTCTGGGAGCTCTCCTCGCTTTCCGGCTGTACACATCTGTTTGAGTGGCTTCGCGTGTTATTTTTCCCGGTGGGCCGGGAGTCTACCGAAACAGCCAACCCGAAAACTATTTCTCTCGGTCGAACGAGAGAGGGAATTTCCATGCTCGACTTCACCTTCACCGCTTGACCAGCGGCACGCCCTAGAGGAAGTATGCGAGTTGGACAAAAATAGCGGACGCGGCTTATCCAGCAGGATGGACACGTTTAAGGACCGGATCCTTTATTACTTCAAGGGAGAACACGACAGCGCGTCAGCTGTGGAGAACAGCTGAATCTGGGAGCATGCCGTTCTAATACAAGTAGCGACTCTCACCGCTCAGCTGGACGGAGTCTGGTACGTGCATGTGAACTTTGAGGCCTCAGCTGAGACCGCAAACAAAGCGTTTTCAACGGAAACTCTCTCACAACTCCCAGACCTCGACCACTGCTTTAGAATCAAGAGGGAGCCCCGGGCTCAAACTTCTCTGATCAATTCCCTCCTCAGCTCATCCAGGGTCCACGATTCGTTTGGGAAGACGTCCTCGCGGAGGTGAGTCTACCGACACAGAGCGTGAGTCACTCCTCCATCCACGGGATAAGCTCGATTCGTAGATCCATCGCATGATCGATCGATTGATTGATTGATTGGCGGATCTCTCGTGATTGCTAGATGCATGAGAGCGATGCGATCATAGCGGGAGGATTGTGCGATGACAGCTCCCGTCGCGTTCCGTTTCCGATACAAGCGCGCGCAGCTGAGCGACAAGGGATTGTCTCTTCTGCTAGAGGGAGGATGTCGAGCGCGGCAATGTTCTAATCCGTTTCACTGACGTTGCTCACTGCTACATCACAGGCAACAACAACGCCACCGCCGCGCTGCCGGCATATTCGAGAGCAGCACCGCCATGAGACTCGAATTTTCCACATCGAATCGATAGTTTCCAATCGGGGAAAGCCAATGTTACCGACCGCCAAACCATGTTGGATAACTATGCAATCGACCAGTACAGGAATTGGTTCAATGACAATTACTACCGGATAACGTACGGACTCTCCATCGAGCCAGGTAGGTGCCAGCTGACGCTCGTCCTGCCCAACAGGCGACGACTCGACGACCGATCTGGAATGCAGCGAGGAGAGCTTCGCTCGGTAGAAAGTCGGTGATTTCATGTCTCCCACCGCTGTCGCCCTGCTCGACGGACTAGTCGGTGTTGTCGCCGCGGTCGTACTGGAAAAAGAATTCAAAACCCGAATTCATCAGAATGTTCTCCGAGCTTTCCACGACTGAGCGGTTTAGTCATAATTATTGGCCAGACTGAGCTGAATCGTTGAAATGATGTCCATGTAACTGTGAGAGAATTCATCTCGCTATCTTCTGTTCGAGTGTGGTCGTATCGTGTATCCGGAATTCGAAACCGGCAGCGATTCATGAATAGCAACACAGATCTTCGTGATGACTGTTTTCGGCAGAATCCGTCGATATGCTGTCTGACTGAGCCGATCGAAGAGGAAAACTTCGTCGCGGATTTTTTACCGTGGCTTCCCGACTTGGGAAACGCTCGCTTCCATGTCATTCATTATTATGACATTGAACTTTGATCCGCGGTGACGGCGGAAACAGATAGCTAGACCGGCTGGCTGGTTGGCAGGCCGCGGCAGTTAGACCATCCAGTCCAACAGACAATCGATCTCCCGGAAGAACCGGCAGGCAACGCTGTGAGATTTTAAGGGACCGAGCTCAGTCGCTCATATTCCCCAAATTTGATCAATCGACGTTCAAGAAATCCTTATTTTCGAAGGCCGGTCAAGATCGAGTCAGTTAAGTTGACCGTGGCATAACTTCAAATATTTTAGAAATGGAGAGGCATCGCAGCGAAATGACTCAGCGGGCTCATGGGTAGGCTCCATTCCTAGTTCTTTTCCCGGGCCGGAGATGAACGATTCCTTGGATACACCGACTCACAGGCCACAGATCAGCAGATTCGCTCGGAATGATAATTACTTCATGGAGCCGAGGTATTGCGTCCCGAACATGTTGTTCGGATGCTGGGCTCGTAAGCCGATCTGCGAAGACCGAACGATCCGTATGATACGACGCAAGCCAATGATATTCCCCTGCGGAGGGTCGACTCGAGGATCACTAGTGAATCCGCTCTACCGAATTCGAGGAAAACCTCCACGGGAATGAAGGATCGGACGGAAAGACAGGCCGGCACGCGCCCGGCGTCGAGCCGCATCAGCCGAACGACTAACCACCTACATTCGCAACCATGCTATGAAGTTCAGAGGCTCGAGGTTTTTGTTGCTCCTTTCCGGCTTTTATTTACTTTGCAATTAGGTACTCATAACGAGCGCTCCGCTCTATCCGGAGACAGCGTCGGCTTAGTGGCGGGAAAACTCCGACAGCGGATGATCGCGGGAGCAGCGGAACTTTCAACAGTGGCCGTATTCTGCGGTGCTTTTTCGGTGCGTGAATTACTTCCTCGTCTGTTCCGATGTCATTTCAGTTCTTCCCCGAGAAACCTCAGCATGACGCGAGATTCGTCTTTCCTGGAACGTCCCGAGGATACACGGAGGAAATTAGACATTCCTCGGCTCCCTGTGGAACGTCGAACGAGGGAGTTTTTGTTCTCAGGGAAATGTTTCAGGATTCCTACGCGCCGCAGACAGGATCTGTCTCCTCCCTCCGCTCAGTCTGTTGTTGTGTTTGCGGAAGTTGGATGGGAAATTTGTTAAAATCATTGCGAGGGTCCATGGCACTCCCAAGTTCCCCGCGCGTCGAGTCGAAAGCCTGGTCCATGGATGATACAGAACCCGGGGGGGGGTCGATTGCAGTCGGCATCCGAGCTTGGAAGGGTCATGCTGACGTTCTCAGCGAGAGACGACGGTTTCTCAGCTTCGGCGTGAATGTAGTCCCGTGTTCAATCTCCTTCGTTGAGTCATCAGATTGAGTTCCGAATCTCACATGGAGAAGCTCTCCAGCTTCTCAGGGACTCGAGACAAGTGTATCGTGATTTATTGCCACGACAAAGACCGTCTGGATCGCTGTGACATCCCGGCGCGTGGCATTGCTGCCAGTCAATATCTCCGTCCGTAGAATCGATGGCTCTTGACGTGAAAACGTCTTTCCTCAGGCTCAGCTGCCCTGTTCGTTTCGCTTCATCCTCCATCTAGCCGAAAATTGTCGCTCTTGCCGGCCTCATGAGGCGGTCCCCATCGGAGCTGGCGACACCCAGATTCCAGCAACGTATAGTGAATTTCCGGATGTCTGCTCCGGTTGAAAGCCGATGGCGATATATGTCGAGGCTGTTCCGTGGGTTTCGCCTTTCCACATGCCTCCGAAAATGGCGCGGAACCCGAAAAATTATGACGAATTTCAGCGTTGTGTTACAATCTGATTCGAGAAATCCCATATACGGAGGCTGGCGATGGGAAAACTATGAGGATTTGATGGTCATCCGGGGCCAAAGCAGCGAAGTATCCTTGATAGCTCTCGAACCCCGAACACTCACCGAGGTCGAATTATCCGTCGGCGTCAAAGACGCAATCTTCAAGAATCGAGAATCTCCGTGACGAGTCGCACGAACAAGGGAATGGGGCCGGAACGAGTGAGTCCTCGACGAATCATTCCTGAGAACAGTGCTGCATTCGTGACGAAGAATAGCCGCGAATTTGCTGAGTGCCTATTCATCATCGATTCAATGGGTCAGAGAGCCCTGTATTGTCTTTTCAATCAACAGAGATGCGCATGCCGTGCTCACGTAGCTGACGGTTATGTCACTGACATAACCTGGCCCTCTACGTATTTTCTCGAGCTGATTTGTCGACGGCGGGCGGTCCCCTTGGAATCTCCTCCTGGATATCTTCTCACCTAGATTGCGAAGTTGAAGGAGAACTTCTATGCGCGTAGCGATGCCACGGAATCTATCGCGATCTCAGTATATCGATAGGACCCGAACAGAATATGTATGCATTCATTTCTCCGTCCCCAGATTTCAGCGTACACAGGCGAGCGGCACGTCTCATAACCGCAATTCTCATACCACCACTTACATCAATTGGAGCCATCTATCTCATTCAGGCAGCCGCGGCAGAGTGAGTAATTCCTCCCCCGAACATCGATGCGCCGCGTCCGGAGTTCTCAAAAAACGTCCGCGTTCTGATGGGCGGTCTCGAGTTCTCCCTTGTGGCCGAACATTGCTCGCCCGATCGGAAGCGATCTCGATGTGTAATCGAATGCGGTTTATTAATCTACCCATGAACGTCTAGTCCTTCCAGACACTTGGCCGAATTGCGGATGCTCCGATGGGAAGCCGCATTGATTCTCTGCATTTCTCTACTATGGGTTTTCCTTCATCTACGTTTCCTTCCGGGACGCAGGTAAGTGAGTTGCCTCTGATCAATCCCTGAAACACTGATACTGATCGCCGGGATGTCTCAGATGTCCACTCAATTCCTCGGATCGAGTAATAATACAAATGAAGTGCGCGCGGAGTGCGGATACGGTATATTTCCAGGTACGATGGTCCCGTCTGCGGCAACGGTCTGCGACCGAGTTATAAACGCAACGGTTTCGCATTTTATATCTTAACTTCTACCATAGTCGGGACAGTGACTTGGGTTTGTGGAAAATCAGCTTTCTCGCTCCTTCCCGGACTATCTTTCACTGCCGTCGTGTTGGGTATATTCGCCGCATTGGCCGCCTACTGTAAGGCATGTTTGGCACCGGATCCGTCGCAGAGTTCTGCGCCTTCTAACCTCGTTTCTGACGTCTTTCACGGCCTCGAGCTCTATCCTAGAGTCGGTAAGTTCATCGGCTCGATCATTCGATATTGTCTCTCTTTCGGCAACGCCTCGTGTACAATATCCGATATCGTGGGGCCTGGAACCACGCCGAGCTAAAATCCTTTCTCTCTATCAACCGGTGGAAAAAGGCGAACTTCATGTAAAACAAGCTTTGATCAGACTCGGTGCCACTCTCAACCTGTGGGTCTTGTGGAGTTGTTTTTTTGCTTACCTGCGACCGAACCTCGTGGGCTCTGTGATAATTGGCCTCCAATTCCTGCACGCGGCTCGCCGCTTCTGGAACGAAGAATGTTACTCTCAATCGATCGAGGTCTCCTACTACAAATTCGGTAAGCATGTCTCCACACATTGCCGACGAATGGATACTGATGCTTGCGCGTGGTTCCTCTCAGCGGAGGGCCTCCCGAGCCCACATACTTTCGACGGAGCCAAGTCGAATATTCACCGAAAGCTGAAGGCATTCGCCAGTCTCATTGGGTATTCGCCACTTCGCAGGATTGAGAGAAGTTTTGCGACATCTCGTGTTAAAGCCCTTCTTGCTTAACCTCGGGACGATCTCGAGCGTTCATCGACCCGCTTCCTGTCGGCCAAGTCTCCTGATCTTAATAAGTTTGATCGCGATACTCTCTATCTTACTCGTTTATCTGATTGACCGACAGAAGTTCCTCGTCAAAAGCAAGAAGGTGAGTTTTTACCCTCGGATACGGATAAGACCTCAGCGTCGATTTTTCAGCCCATTTTCTCTCCGGAGAGAGATCTGTCTGCCGAGTATTTCTTTGAGCTTCGCCAGGGGGCTTCCTAGAGCCTGCTGTTGAGGAACTCGAATAGCGAAGCAGCTTCAACTTCAAGCGCGACTTAGCAGATTCTCACGTGGCACCGCTGAATTTTCCATTCTAGTGCAAATCCTTCGTGAGCACCATTCCTTGTCCCGACGTCTGCACGAGTCTTCGCGTGGAAACCTCATAGGCCGGAGACCGCTCGTTCAACCGCTCTCCCTGTCCCGTGATATACGGAACGAGCGAGCTGTACTTTCCCGGGGTTGTCCAGAGCGATTCCATGAGAATCGTGCCGGAAGTGGAGGAATGCCCGGTACCGGGACAAAATATGAAAGAAGATCCTTCCCTGAGCGAGCCCGACGGCCGTTCGCATCTAAGCTCAGTCTTGGTGCGGTGATCCCAACCTCTCTCCCCCGGGAAGTTCTCCGATACCGATGGGAATGGAAGTCATGAGTTTATGAGTCGGCGGTTTGCTCCGCCCTGAAAAAGATACCGCGCTCAGATACCGCGAGGTGACACGGAATTTCGCGTCAGGTCGCTGAGCCCGCCGCGTCCGCCGCGTCCGCCGCGTGCTTGTCGTACGGAGCTCAAACCTTCCCCCACGAGCAATCGATGAGCATTCCGCTTCATACGTTCCTTTCTTCATGCCAAATCATGCGAGATTGCCTTATGCTCGAGAGCGTGGGAGTGAACCGGACCCTCGTTTGTGCCTCTCTCCCGGGGTCGGCACGTCTCTCCTGCAAAACCCGATCGGCGTTCAATCAATACCGTGGCAATCGCGACGCCGCGCCAGCGCCGGAAGAGTAGCGACCGATGACCCCCGCTTCGACGAACTCGGGCTTTCCAGCGCTTCGGCTTTCACTTGGATTTCGGGGAACCCAAGCCGAACTGTACTTCCGCTCTCACTGCTTTTCGAGACATCTCTCAGCAGGAATCGGTTCTTCTCCATTTGGAGCTGCGGACGTCGCGTGGGATTCAGGGACTCAGAAGAGGCCGGGAGCGGTTTGCTCTAGCGAGCTCCGATTTATTAAATAGTGATCATTGATCCAATCTCAGTCTTTGTGGCCTGGGATAATTCAATGGGAGGGCATGCTCGTTGCCCCCGTTCTCGACGCCGCAGGCTCATTCCGATGGTCGGCCTTTGACTGACGCATTTCCGAACGAGTGACTGGCGTCCTCGGAAAGAATACTCAAGGACCTTCCGAGAGAGAAGGATCACCACGGAGAACGGAATGTTGTGTTTCGCTCAGGCTTTTTCGCCATCCGATACGCACGATTCTCGGTCTTCAGATCGAGAGAGCACCGTCGGGGTCACATTCGCGCCTCAGTCGTAGATCGGATCGAGAGAGCTCTACTAATCTCCTCGAGCCAATGGAAACTCGATCTAATCGTGACGCCGATAGAGTACCTAATCGTAACGCTCCACGATCATCACCGCTGAAGCCGGCTGGAGTCGAAGTTTTCGAGGCTCGCTCCGAGACGATTAGGATTTTTTCAGAAACGCTGCGGAGCTCCGTGGAATCAAGGAGGGAATAAGGATGGAATAAGGGTTATGAGACCATCGATGGTCCGGCGGCAAGGAAGAAATACATAAATAATCAATGGGCCGAATGTGTTTCCACGATTTCAGGGGAAATGCATGACTTGGGGTCGCATGGCGAGAACAATCAACGCCTTTTACGTTGATGAGCACGGATTGCGGAGGGCTTCCATCCTGTTGTTCTCTGGTTTCTGGGGCCTAGCACGCCATCTGAATTACACGTTCGAGTTCATCGTGTACTGCGTACTCGCTGGACCGGCTCTGACCAGTTCCAACTGGTTTTCTGCGATACCGCCTGGACTAATTCTCGTGAGCCTTCTGCACAGGTAAGCCGATCAAGTATCACTCTCGCAGGATCCATACGTTCTATTATTAATTCAGTCCTCATGTATCTGGGTTTCCATGTCGCGAGAAGAGCTCATGGCTGGCGGTGCGGCTATTGAAGGATTCCATCAGGGTTGTCGCTAGAAAAATGATCATACGAAGATTTCGCCTAAGCCTCTCGGAAGATTCATTCATCCCCTGGGGAGAGGGCATTTTTCGTTGCTGATTGGTTTTTCTATGACAGCTTTCGACTAATACATGTTCGCTTGCTCGGAAATTCCAGGGGCAAAGAAGACTTCGATAAGTGTCGCCGGAAATACGGACCATATTGGAAGATGTATTGTGATAAAGTTCCTTACGGATACATTCCGTGGCTGTGGTGAACGACCGGAGGGAGGAGACACTGAGTGATTATTTTTTGGAAGTTGAGACTTCTTCGCCTTCCTCGCTCTAAAGTGGGTTCAATTTTGGTTGTCACTCTCAGCGCTCTGGGAGCCCGTGCAAGCACGAGTGGAACGTTTTCTGAATATCTGAAGGAAGAATCCCGCATATTTGTTTCTGGCGTACTTCGGAAATTCCAGGAGCCTTCCCGTTCTCCGGTCGTTATTCTGTCAAAATCAATGTTTGTCAATTGTAAAACTTCGGAAAGTACTTCAAAATGTCTTGTCTCAGTTGGAGAGGAGGAGTAAGATCGTTACCGACAGAAATTCGGCTCCGCTCGAAAAGTGAATCGAGATGAATATTTCCCTGCACGATCAGCTGTTCTGAGAAATATCAGAATAAAACGAGGGAATATTTCAACTAGAATCGATTTGGTTTCTCTCGGCTTCGAATGCTCGCGATCCGCGAGCTCATCGGCTAATCTCGTAATCCTGCGGGATTTCAACAGCGTCACGACGATGAAAATTAATTATCACACACTTCATGTCGCCAACGGTGGCGATCGACGGAACAGATCATCGAGTCCGAAAGAGAGTATTGCTTCGCGCTCCGCTAGAAAGTCTCGGAGCCCGCGAGGGAAACTCTACCCTCGACGAACAATCGCGAAACCGAACCAGTTCCGCCGGTTTCGTGAAATTCGCTGTCGTCTAGGGATTCGAAGTCTGATGAATATTTCCAAGCTCCACGGAGCGATCGGCCGCAGTCCGATCCCCCGCTGACCGACAGAACTTCCACACACCAGCAAGAAGAATTCTTCGCCCTGGAAATAAATTGAAATACATAATGATCATCGAGTAGATCACGCTAAGCAATCGGTTGACGAGAAGGGTAAAAACTCCATCGTCAAGATGGCGGGATTCGCGCCACCGACCGCCTGCCTCGGGAGGGCGGCAGCAGTCTCTGAGTTCACTCTCCGGCTCGATGATCTTCACGGATCCAGTGTCTGAGCTCGTCCGGAGCGATCAGACAAGCTCGAGAGAGCGATCGTGCTGCAGCCGCGCCACCATTTTGGGATCAGTGCCTGGTTGTTGATTCATAATCTAGATCCCAGTGAAGTGCGGTGCAAAGCCACTAAGCGAACGTAATTTACGCCAGCTGACCGGCCATCGACCCCTTGCCGAAATTACCTTCTTCACCGAGAACAGAAAAATCATCGACACACAACAAGACTGGTATTGGTTGTGTCTTCATTGACCACACAGGCCATCGGTCGATCGGTGTATCAGCCGAACCTCGGCATAGTCTCAGCTGAAGCGATCAGCTGCACTTATGTGGAGACGGCCTGAGACGGTCTTCTGACAATATGAAGGCGTCGTCGTTCGCCGCAGTGCTTTTTGTGACAATACTTTCCTTTAGTGGTAAAATTCAATGCGAAGCGCAGAATGACCGCGACTTCTACCGGACATTGGCCAATGTCACGCTGGACCGTTACATGGATCTCATTTCGATACCCCAAGTGCCCGGTCGCTACGTGACCGATGAGGATCAACAGAGCGTAAGTTTTCTGCGCAGAAGCGCGTTCTTAGAAATACGCATCCAAGAGAAGCGGGATTGTTCTTCGAACGTTTTCAACGAAAGCGAGGGAATTCCACGAGTGTCTTGTTCGCAAATCTTCTGCGCCCGACCATCCTTCGATTTCACCCTACACCGAAGGGCTCGAATCGTTCGCGAACGAAGATCAGTGTTCTGAGTCGTGTTGGCGGAGCAGGACAGAAAGCTCTTATGTAAGATAGCGTTTCAAAGTCGGCTTACAGGAGGATTTTCCAGAACTGGGTTTGGGAGGAGAACGACGACGAGTACATCAGGAGTTATCAGGTGACGAATTGCCGAGATGAGAGAAATTCTGTGGTGAGTAGACCTACCGATTTTTTTGTTCGCTCTCTGCTAGCGGAGCCCCGCGGGGAACTTTCGGTGCCGGACGACGGAGGGAGAAGAAATACCTCGGTAACTATATGAGCCCTTCAAGGTGAAATATGGCGATCTCCGCGTCGAACCAGATCCCCTGGTATTCCCTGGAACGATTCGAATAACTTCCGATATACAAGTCCTGGAGGATTTGGTGGATCCGATCAAGGTGAGTCTGACCTAGAAAGTCGATCAGCGGACCTGGAGGCTACCGTGGTTTTTGGAGGGAGCTGCTAGGCTCGACATCCTCTCTCAGAACATCTGTGACGAGGACTGGTTGAGTGACATCCAGCAGTTTCACGGGGGTGCTTAGATTGAGGCGGTTCGTGAAAAGCCTCAGTGAGCTAGAGATGCTGGAAAAAGCTCGGAATTGGAAGGACAGCAGATGCCTCATGGACGCCTTCAGTTGTCGTCAATGCGGCTGCTGCTGCTCGTGTATCAGCAGTGTTTTCTGGCTTCGGTGGGAAGGATTCACCGTGCTCTGAGCGGCTCTGAGTGAAGCTCCTGGACAGTATCGATAAAAACCTCGGACGTCATCCGAGATACGAGCCCTCACCGAAAAACGTATCTAATCCCGGACAGTCTACGACTATTGCTCGATGGACCAGGAGCCGCGTTTCCAGGACACGAAGACACTTCAGCTCTCCGAGAGATCAAAGCGATCGGTGCCTTTGACGAGTCATTTGACACGTCGATGGAACAAGCCGTGTCAAAAGTCCACTCGACGCGTGACTCGAGACTTTTATGATGGATGTCCCTCTCGGTCAGGACGGCGTGTCGGATCCTGAGCGGGTCGCCTAGCTACGGCACGCGATTGATATCCTATAGGTACAGGTCACTCCTCGAAGATATGCATGATTCGCTGCGTGAAGCTTCTACCATCGTGAATGAGACCGCGGTGACTGAGTGAAACGACATCTATGCGGCCTGGTGACCCATCGCTTATTGTCGGGATGAACGATCTGGATATTTTCGCCTCATGAGGACGAGTCTCGAGTATCCAAAATCTATCCTGATGTTAGAGGCTGCAGAAATCGGTGGCCAAAATGCGATGTGTCTAGAACAGTGGTTCCCGACCCGGGTTCCATGGAACCCTAGGGTTCCATCGAGAGATTTCGGGGTTCCTTCGGGAAAGATTTGGTGGAACCCTGGGGTTCCATCGAGCGATTTTGGGGTTCCTTCGGGGAACATTTGGTGGAGCTCTGGGGTACCGTCGATCATCTTCTGAAGTCTTCTCAAAGCCCAGAGTCTAGAAGGGAATAATATAAATAAATCGAGGCAGGCGTTCCCACGTTGCTTTCTTTAATGCATCGGAACGGGGGTACTGCTAAAAAAATTATCGAAATACTTCACAACACGGGCAAGGGTTCCGCAGGTAGCTTTGCGGAACCCAGAGGGGGTTCCAGGAAGGGCTTTCCGGAACCTCTGAGGGTTCCGCGGGGAGAAAAAGGTTGGGAACCACTGGTCTAGAACTCAGCTTCAAGATCTGGCTCTTCAATGCGACGATCCCTTAGGAGCCTTCGCACGTCGGTAGGCCTCGAGGTGGACGGCGCCCATGGGAATTTTCTTAGCGGCAGGAATACATCGGGAAGACTGACACAATCGAGAGGGTTGCTGTGGAGAATACGTGCGTCATGGGAGCAAGCGAGAATGTATACTGTTGGAGAAATTACGCTTCCGACGGGAGCACCCTCTAGATCAATCTGAATTAAGAGTCGGAAACGGACCGCGAGCCAAGTCCGTAATAAGGCGTACCTCGGTCGTGCCTAATGTTGTCAACAAAGATCTCATGACTGTGAGCTGCCAAAGGTCTGCGCTGAGCTTTATCGGAGTGAGCGCGAGAATTCTCACCACGTTTCATCCTCGGGCGCCCCGTGCCTTGATCCTCACGAGCCACGGGATCGATGCCTAGGTTCGGGTGAAATTCAGTGACCAATCGTTAGCGGAGAGAGGAAATATCAGCTCGGAAGAACATTCCGGAACCATTCTCGAATTTCAGATACGGGTTCAGATGCGCCGTCGCATGGTTTACTTCTGGATGGACCTTCCCTGCTTGGCTCAGTACGGCTCGTGTGTCTACGAAAATATTTGCGAGTCATCGATCAGATGTCCAATATTCTACGATCTGCTCGGCCTGCCCTGCGGTTGCCCCATCAAAAAGGTTAGTCATGCCTGGGGGAGCTAGAGCGACTGAATTCATATCAAGGTCCCGGAGGAACTTCCCATTTCGTTTTTCTCTTTCGAGTTTCATTCTGTTCCCCTTGCTTTCAGGGAAACTACTCTACGGAGAACAAGCTGTACAACGTTCCCGATGTTCTTCCGACTTGGCTCACATCCGGAGACTACCAAGTCGTCCTCAAAGCCTCATCCGGAAGTCGATCTCTGTTTTGCGTTCATTTCAAGCTCTCGGTGGAGGGGCCGGATGACCGTGAAAAACTCCTCAACCTGCTCTCGAAGTATTGATGGGCGACCTAGACAAGATCTTCGAAATAAAATGTGTGTCGGAACGCAGAGGAGGACCCCTTTCTTTCTTCATCGGTCCTTTTCGGAACTTGCGCAAGAAATCCGTTGATCCTTGGTTTCGGAGAGTAGCCACAGCGACATCAGGGGGCAACGATCCTCGAATCCGATGGGATCGGGACTTAGTACGCGCTTGCTTTTCCTTCCGCTTCCTTTTGCGGGTGCGAGGCCTCAGTCCTTACGGGACCGGATTCTCCGGAGGAAAAGGATTAGAAAAAAAGTTCAAGAGTTCGGGGAAGTTCTCGCGATACGGAATAATGTCCTGTCCACTAGTTGGAAACGTTCGCTGCCGAGCCAGAAATAGGCCCCGGGTGATTCTCGACGGGATTGATGTCGCTGCGCTAGAGAACTCCTCAATTCAAGCCCCTAAGCACGTACCTACAAAAAACGAATGTCCTCAGGTCGGAGAGCCCATTCGCAACTGTCTAAGAGGCTTCGTTTTCATGCGCACCTTGTTCGAACAGCTCTCGTCCGAGATTGTTTGTTCTGCTCAACGGTCGACTCGTTGGAAGACAGATTCGGAGGAGAGTTCCCTCTACGCATCGCATGTGACCCTCGAATCGTCCTCGAACGGAAGCCGGTTTGCGGTGCGTCCGTTGCCACGGGTGATGAATCTCGCTACTCTGGAACTCTATTTCTTATTGCCGGTCCCGCTGAATCCATCATGGGAATCGTCGACCAGGAAACTTGAACACTCGAGCAAATTCCAAACTCTCTCAGCGTGGACGGAGCTCAGAAGGCGCAAACTCCCCGGGAGCTCCGAACGTGACTACCCCTGCCTTTTTGTTTTCGTTCGCGTCAGCCTCGACCCATATAATCAACAATCCTCAGAAATCCATCCCCCGCATAAGGCAGAAAGACTTCTCGGTCGCAAAGAATGGCGCTCACATGCTCCGAGCCTCTTCGACTGACTCTCTCAATTCGGCCAGATCAGCATGCAGCGCAGCGCTCTTCGGGGCGAGATACTCATAAAGAGGAAGTGAGCACATATGAATATATGGGACTAGCTGCATGCATTCGCTCGCCGCTGTGTCTGCTCCCCCGTGAATTTACCTCCACATTACATTCGTTGTAGAATGAACCGAGGGAATTCCCCTTTCTCGTTTCCTCACTCCCCCTTTTTCATGCATACTTCCCCTTCCTCGTCCCCCCCGTCGCCGTTTACCGTCACATCGCGTCCCCCCTCGCTTCCCCTTTCACAAAAGTTACCATGTCCATTACCTCGTTATTCTTGTCCCGCTCTTTCCTGTTACCCGATCCTCTTTTCTATCCAATTACTTAATTACAAGGAAACACTTCGGGCTGCGGTGACATCTGATGTGAGAAACGAGTGGAAAGGGTTCACGATTGCCGAAGGATGGGGAATATTGAAGAAACACATATTTTCCGCGGGGATACTCGTCTATCATGCCTCTAGACAGCTCCTAAACCACACATACGTCTCTGCCGAACTTCGGGACAATAAGCCCGCATCGATTGAAGCCCGCAAATTTGAAGTTCCGCCGGAGGGAAAGGTCGCCGGAAACTGGTTCGTTATCAGACCGCCCCGCTGCTTCATTCTACAGGGGGATGGAGGCGGGCAAGCCATAATTCAGATTCGGGGATGCTATTGTGTGGAAACGGTAAATCGTAAGCCTCGATCTCTGCTCCCTCCGGTGCCTTCCAGAGCTCAGGAATCGATTTAAGGTTCATTATTCGGTCGGTGCCGCAAGCGCGAATTTATCCTCGATATCGAGTTATCTAATAAGCATCCTGAACTGAATCCAATTCGGCACGCCGCGGTTGACGGATTCGGAGAGCATTCAACCGTCTTTGGACTGCGGGGTCGCACGTCTTGAAAAGAGATACATGATCCGACCGGCAGAAATTCTCCATTCGCCAGAGAACTGTCCCGCACTGAATGTGTCAGTGTTCCGGGGAAACTCATTCCGTGTTTTGAATCCCTGATGGGTAATCAAATTGAAACATTCCGTTCCTGTCCCTATTGACCAGAATGACTTTATTCGAACAGAAACGAATTCGCAAAAAGCGGCGAGGCTCAATTCCGAATATGCGGAAGTTTCTGCCAAATCATCGATCAGGCTCCACGGAGTTGGTCAAGTCCGATGAGTGTTACTCGTCTTCTTCGAACGCATCTCGGGCATCGCAAAGAGGATCGGCAATGAGAGTGGTACTTCAAGGAATCGGCCTTGCCTGACCCCGAGCTGAGGTCAAGATGGCCGTTCAAGTTCGAGGTTCCCCGTCAAGGGGGCGGACGCTCTATAAGCTCCGAGCTGTCGACGAGAGACAAGCTAGCAAGAGAGCTCGCGACAACGCCTGTCTGGGCGGAAGGTTTAACACCTCATGTTGCAGAGGTCGTGGACGCTCGGCGGAGTCCACGCTGTGTCATGAACAAGCCTCATGAAATGCGTGGTCGAAAAGAAGCTGCTCCGGCCCCGACTCCGGCTGTAGCTTCCAGATTGAGCTCGTTTCTGACAGCACTTCCATGCCGGAATTCGCTCGTAACGTCGCTAGGTTGCCAGAGCTCTCCAGCCATGTTGATGACATTCGCGTAGTTGACCCCGTTGGAGCTTGCAGTGACCGTCTGTAGCTGCAGGCGGCTCTTAGAGCACGAAGTCCCGGATTCCGTTCAGAGAAGTCCGTAGAAATTGAATCTGAGAAAATTTCCGACGGCCAGAAGTCCGAGCGGATACAAATTCCAAGACACGGACGACCCGCAACGGCAGGAGGATAAGCTCATTCAATATTTGTCCCACGTTCGCACGTCAGAGGCGAGCTCGAAGGATTACGGGAATGGACGAAAACTCCCACCGCTCTCTCCCCGAATTCACGGCGAATGTCTGATATTAATCCGACCTGTCATCTTGTGTCAGGTGTGAATTTCTCATCGATCAATGGAGCAACGTGATCCGCCCGACGGAACGAACTCGTGCTTTTCATGTACATGCATACCTAGAGCGTTGTAGCGTATCGTCCAGCCGTTCCGAGTCTTTGATCCGCGGAGAAATGCCGTCGATTTCCACCAGCTCGGTCGAAGAAAGCGCGAAAATTGCAAAGAGGAGAAAAAAATCATAGAAATCATCTTGGTCGACGCCAAGCGAACAGTGGGCGTCCCCAGTTGACAGGCCATTCTCCAGAAGACGATGAGTCGGAACCGCTCGGGATCCAGAATCATACGGTCGGGCTCAGCGCTGCAATGATTGAACTCTGCAAACTAAATTAAGTATTCCAACGAAGAACTCTAACAATGTTGTTTGCTCATGGAATTTGTGATGTGTGCGGGCGTAGAGAATAAAGTCGATCAGTTCGTACATGGGAATAAAGAAGAGAAAGACGCATTCCCGGCATCGAGTTGAAGTCTACGATCATCCAAGAAGAATGGGTCTGCATTACGAATCATCTCGAACACACCGAGAAAACCGTTCCCGACCCTCAGAAAGTCAAGGCTGAATATCGTCGCAGGTTCATGACTTCCTCCGGTGGGCGGACTCGCTCGATTGAGCGACTTTCGGATAAACCCTATAGGAACACCATACTGGGCGCTGATTACGGGAGCGGCGCAAACACCTATCGCCGTCTCCGGAATTGTCGTCTGCCTTCAAGACCGCTCGCGCAATACTCTCTTCCGAAGTTTTCAAGACCCCGTCAGCCAAGGCCTAGAGACCGTGTCGGAAAACTTGTGGTTCCGTTTCTGATTCACCGACAAGAGACTTCAAAAAGCAACAAGAGAAATTACTGCGATTGTTAGAATGTCTCGAGACCGCTTTCAATGGTTATCTCGTGTTTCGCTCGTCCAACAAGCGAGTCGCTCGTGTCTGTGTCCGCCACAGAAAACAATTTTCTCCATTTGTTTGCTTCCCCCACGGGAGCCGCGGAGACGGCTCGGCTGCCCAGAAGAACTATCACTAGAAAGACGAAGCGCGCTAATCTGCTTACGGTCTATTGTTCAGCGATTTGTATGCGTTAGCAGCGGCTCAGTGAGATACAATACATAGTTGCCGCGACGTCTCCCGATCCGTCGCTTGAGCTAGCCAAGGTTCGGAACTCGCACTTCCATACCTACCATCTCCTCACACCTGATAAGTGTTGCTTGACTCTCAAGCCGAATGCTGTCTGTGCCATGAGAACGATTCTGAGCCATCACTATGTATCCCACGTACGATACTAAAACAGACTCAATCCATCTATTCTAGTCCAGTCGTTTGGGATATGTATGAGAGCCAGCCGAGAATCAGGTTTCATCAGAATGAGGCTCAAAAGGAAAATTTTCCGCGATCGACTCGTGATTATCGATCGTTGCAGCCATAAGATTTCCGAGCTGAAGAGCTTCTGCCCCTCTTGAGATACGGGGAAGGCGATCGGAAAAGACCGATAGAGTCCAGAACTTCGACTTTCCCGCACGAACGTTTGGCTCGCGTGCCGCCTGCGGCTCCCCTCACTTCAGCTGGAAGTCGCACCCTCTCCTGTCTTAAGCATATAGACTATCTTCGGCGCGGATCCGCCGTTTGAAGTCAGATGTTGCAGCTTCGCGATCACTTTCGAATCAGCGGTAATCGCTCCGTGCTAGATCTGTATTATTCATTCTGAGCAGGTGGACCGCGTGTTGTGAACAAGGATACGTATACGTTTTGAGGAAAGCGATCCCGAGACGGAGATCCGCTCCACAGGCGTACGGGACCCAGTGAGTATGTAGCGGTGTGAGCATCCGACGCGTGCGCTCGATCCGAGGGGGAAAATTTTATGGCATTCACCGGTGTAGTTCCTTGTCGAGAATGAGGGAAAATCAATCGGGACGAGCCTCTTTCGTGAGAATTTATGTCCACGCTTGAAGATATGCAACGTGTGGAAAGATTGGGACTTCGGATAGTGAAGCCCTGACAGACGTACGTCAAGCTCGGGAGTTGAGTCTAAACATTCCATTGTGATGCTTCCCCTAAGTCCGACTAGACGATCTGATTCTTTGTGTTCCTAGACTGAAGCCTTCAACGGAGCAGGCGACAGAAATAGACAAGCTTTCACACTCCGTACATTCTGGATTGTCGCGACGGAAAGACAAACAATAGTCTCCGGCGCGGAGCTCCTCTATTGACTCTCTGTGGAATCCGGTCTAGATTCTCGTGTTCAATTTTGGATATCCATGCCGCATTTGAGAGCCATGCCGAATTCAATGATTCGTCTTTCGATTCCTGTTCTGAAGTCTCACACCGAATCCGTTCTCTCGCGCTTCCTATCATATAACAGAAATCATAAGCTAGTCTGCGAGTTCGAGAAGGATGTTTGGGCGTCATCCAGTGAGGGGAGTCTGGTCCGTCTGCTCCGGACTTGAGATTGATAACCGATGTATTATCTTTGAAGCTCCCACGTAAACGAGCTCGGGAAACCGGAGAGCGACGAGAAAGGGAAAGTAGCGGTTTCATTTTTTTCGGAACCACAGCAGTTTTCGCGTGACTGCTCTTTTCGGGAACATCAAACTAAAACTTGTTCGGGAACTCGTAAATTTCGTGTCGATGGAAAATGGGGAAAATCCCGATGCATTCTCGGGGTGGCTTAGTCTCGAACGATGCGGGGATCGGTCGAAAACGTTTCACAGTATAGGTCCCGCTCACTTTACCAGTCTGCTGGGTTCTTCTGAGCTATTTGGCTCACCAAACACGTCCCACTTTTACTCGCGACCCGTGACTCTGAGCGATGTAGCCCCTCTCACTTTCACTGACTGCATCGTAAGTGTAATGAGAACAAGAAGCTTCAAGGTGCAACATGCTGGCGTCGACTGGCGAGTCCGAAGGAAGAGAAGTTCCGAAGCGCAACTCACGCCCGCCGAGCGGTCACAGAAGCTGACCAGTGGGAACAGCGAATAGAGAGCTTCTCATAGTCTTGGATCGGGGAACGTCCAAGAGTCAGATTGAGTCGAAGAGGATTTTTGCGACTCCTCGTGCTCAGATTCTAGACGGAGCGGGGGAATATCCTCGAGCCCGAAACCCCGATTTCCAGGAAGCAATCGTCAAGTCTCTCCGATAATTGGATCCGAGAAGTTCCGTGGGAGCTCATGATCTGCTGGGCGAGGAGTTTCTGGAGGAATGAGGCCTTTGGTCTAAGATCACTTTGCGGTATCGCGTTCCAAGAGGGTTTTGATTGAATTGAATTCATTCGAATCTATTCAAGCGGCCTGAATCTAGCAGGAAGCTGTTGATTCGCAAGCCACCATGTGGGACCTAATAAGTTCCCTAGGCTTAGTAAGTCCGACTCACCATGTCGATAAGCATACTCGGCGCGGCGGCTCGTACATATTCGTATAAATTCGTGTAAGGACGGTGGATCGGCAATGTCGGTTTTCTCTCCCTTGTAGGAGCGAAGGAGTCTACGGGAGCGAGCAACATTCCATTTTCGTCGAGGATTCTCCGGAAGGAAGAAAATCCGGAGGTCCGCGCCATATAATCAGACGGGTGTGTTGCGAAGGAATACAGGGGTGGAAAAATAATCGTAGGTTCCCGCGAAGATGTTCATACCTTCGATATGGCGGAGGAGGTGGAGCGAAAAAAAGAGCGATTCGGTCATCGGACAAATCGCATACTTTGGAAGGACATTCTCCGGAGCCTTGCTATGCATGGAGTCTCGAGTCGGAAATTCTGGGAACTTCTGCGTGGTCTCCGTTGCCCTCTCTTGGACTTTTCGTTTACGATAGGTGTATTTTCGGAAGTCTCATAGGGTGGGGCTCAAGTCCCGGCGGCGTCGTTCTGCTCATAGGCAGGCATTTTTCGGCGGGTGCTAGACGTCAATGTTTCTGGGGCTCTTGTTCGTTTTCGTGTTGTCGTCCGCCGGGAGGGACGCGCCTTGAAGAGAACTTCTCAGAAGAAGGAAAAATCTATTGAAACATTCGCTCGTCCGTCTCCCCTCTTCGTCTCACAATTTCCAACCGAATCTGTCAGCGCCGTACCGCGCTTTTCTGTGTTTGATTGTCAATCTGTCAATCCGCAGATAAGTTGTCGACGCGCAACTGTCTACCCGAAAATCCGAGGCACGAAGACCGCAAGTTTTTGAGAATACAACGTGATTCCGTTGGGAGGACAGAGCTCATTGTGACTGGCAGCGATGGCTGCGCAGAAGCTCCGCAGGAACATTCGCTGTTTGCGTCAGATACAGGAAAAAAAACATTCGTTCTCGGACTCCATCGAACACGAACATGAATCAGTCGAACAGTCAAACAGACGTGCGTGGGTTTGTCGAGTAAATATGACCACTCGACGAAATCTCCAATCAATTGTTCAAACTCGGTTGAACGGGGGAGCTTCCGACTAAACAGAACGCTATTTATTCTGTCTATGCGAATCCGTCATCGCCTGTTCGACCACTGGATCATCGATCTTCCCGTCGGGTGATTCTTTTCGATGTCATCGAACACTGGAGCACCCCGACAAATCTTGAAACGGCTCCCCGAGAATACGGCAGACCTCGCCTCTCCGGAATCCAAAACCGCCTAAAGCAAGCGCGCATAGCGTCTTCCATTTTTTATGTTGCGGTGAAATGTTCCAATGCGGCGCGGATAGCATCATGCCGAACAGTCTGACTGACCGACGGGCCGTCCGTCCGTCCCTTCATAGTCTGTCTGTCGGTCGGTCAGTCGTGACTTGAGACGTTCTGTGGGTTCGAATCGCCACAGCGAAAAAAACTTCCGACGCGCCTTGAGGCGTGCCACGGCTTCGTTTTTGAGCAGCAAGGCTATTACTCAAATCAGCTGTTTGGTGCAAGCTCGCTCCTTATTTTTCTCGATCGTCTTTACCCATCACTTGTTGTCGCTCTCTTGTTTGCCTCCCTCGTTGCTCTACAAAAATTGAATCCCCGGCCGTGTCTATAGGATTCGGTCAGCAAGTTTTTGGCGGTGCAGTAGTCTGTCGACCCAGCCCACTCCTGCGCGGAAGGAATAGAAGGGTTGCTCGGGGAACATAGCTTTTGCTCTAGACGGCTAGCAGAATTATCGAAACCCGAGCAATGATCAGTCGGATAGGCGTCCGAGGATCGTTCGCTTGAGCGACGAATTCGGGGACTGCACGGAGCTTCAGTAGAGCTCTTTTGCGTGTTAATAGCAAGTCTCGAACCCGTGATCCTCGGCTCGTCAGTATCCGGATTTCTCGGAGACGCGCTCTCTATCGGCTGAACTCGAGTTCGAGCCTGAACGGATGAAACGGAATTACCAGTCTATCAATGATAGAGGAAATCTGGGAAAGAACTTTTGGGAATCTTCTCGACTTGGAAGAAAACCTTGACGCGCTGAGCTTTGTTTTTCCACAGATGCAGCGGCTAGATGCGACGTTCCCGCACCGACGGCAGTGAGGACACGGCGAGACGACGGACACGCTCGCGTTGAAGCAGAATGTCGATGAACGCGACGGAGCTATTTCTCCCGACGACGGAATTCCCGGAGGATCTCTATAAGATCGCTGAGTTTCGATTCGGTTACCGTTCGATAAGGGCTGCCATCAATGTCCTTGCCATTATCCTGTCTGCGCTCATACTCGTGTCGAGTGGGTGGTTGAAGAGGCCGGCGAGCCCGCTTTTCATCTTGAACCTCCACGTTCTCTTGATAAACATCTCCATAGCATTCATTCAAATCCTCTTCTATGTTGAAACCGTAGCGATCGTCAAGTTTAATGAGACGGAGTATCATTGCACCGCTCTATTTGCTCAATTCGTTGCTGCATCAGCTTTTTTCGTGGCCTCCTTGAATCTACTCACGGTGGGCACCATACACGCGATCGAACTCTTCAGACCCTTGATCTGGGTAAATTCCAACATGCTGTCAAAGCGTCGAGCCTTCGGAGTTATAGCCCTTGAATGGGTAGGGGCCATTCTCTTCTTCACCTACTTCTACCTGCCTCGAACCGGTTTTTCGAGCACGGCGTGCCGGACGCATTCCGTGGAAGTGTTCGACAGCGACGCTCTCCTCATCATCACGTCGGTTGTGACGGCTCCGTTCGGCGTGTCTTGGATCCTCTACTGTGTTCTGATAGTGTCTCTGTGCTGCCGACCCCGGTACACGGAGGTTTCCCGGAAGCATTTCTATACCTCGCTTTGTATACTGATAACATTCAGCTTCGGTTTTCTGCCAGATTTGGTTTTCGCGATTTTATTCTGTGAGCATTGTCCGCTCTACGAGTCTGATTGGGATCGATATTATCTAATTATGGCAGGAGATATGGCGAGAACAACTCTCATGACAACGAAATTCATACTGGATCCAATCATTTACATCTGGAGGAGTTGGGAGGTTCGCGCAGATTTGCAGGACACGATATGTGGATGCGGGAGCGACAAAAGGCGAGTCGAATCGCCAGAAAACGGCCGTTCGATCTCTACCATCTCAACATCAATCATCGGATACTACGAGTGATCGAGGTCTCGCAAGTTCGAGAAACACTGTAGAGAATAGCTTCAAGAATCTCTAGTCAAAACGCGAATGTCTCGCCCAATGTGCAATCCGCATCTTCATCGAAGTCATCCCATCGATCGACCACATCGTAGATTCTCGAGACTCAGTAGAGCGTCTCAACTCTCAAGTAGCTTATCATGGTAGAACAATCTGCAATCTGTACTTATACCTACAAGGGAAGGCAGACCAAGATATGAAGAGAAATAAAAATTTATTTATTCAAGTGAATGGTTTTTCGCCCTTTCTCTTGCCGTTTCATTGTTTGTTCTGTCCAGTTCACGTACCATCTCTCCCTCTTACTCATAGGACTATCGAAATTACCTCTCTGAATAATTCAATCGACAAGTGCACGTATTGGGTAAGCCTGAGAAACCACCTGTCGACATCGAAGAACAGCATCTTCGATTTTTTTCATGCATTCGTATTTATTCGGGACGATGCTGTGGCACCGCTACGGGTCCCCTGGACCCTATCGGTTTTCTGTGTTGTTTTGTGTGTTGTTCCCAACTCGTCTCCTTCGTCGGAAACTAATTAGACGAAAGATTGCCCTCACTTTGGAATGTGATTGTCAAATCGCACCACCACGATATGACCTTTGCGCCGGCTCGTCGCGGCCTTCAGATTTCCGTCACGATAAGAGAATCGTCGAACGAGCAGCCGACTGGGAACCAGACAGAACAGAAACTCGAAATTCACAATCCTACGGAGTGAGAGTTGGGCACGAAGATACCGGAGTGATCTTAGAATACTAAGCATCGCTTCACGCTCGATCACGACGAAAGTTCCGTGCTCGAATGAATTGCCGCCATTCGCTACAGCTTGACGGGATCTCCTCGAGGTGGACCTCCATCGTTCAATCATTCGTGTCAATAAAAGAGGATAGCACGGGAAAAGGTGACAAATATCAGGAACTCTAGGAGCGGTGTGCTCTGCCCAATGAAAACTATGGCAAAAAATTTGCGGTCGCTCTAAAACTCGGAAAACTCGAAAACAAGGCGAGGCACCCGATTAATGGTCCTCCGACACACTCGTTCCTCCATTCCGCGCTGTGAATCCATTGGAAATACTTAGATATGCTCATTTTGATTCTGAAAGCGACGATGGAAGTAGACGGGGCAGAATCCGGTTCGGTTAGTGATTAGACCTTCTTCGTTATGAGCGAAAAGCACGTTCTCGGAGTCGGACTTGGACTTACGTTCGAAGGTCGCCAGAAAGAGCTGCAATGTTGAGACAGAAGAAGAAGAACTTGTCAAGAACTTGAGAAAATCAGACCGATCGGCAGCCCGAGAGAGTGAATATTCGGGGGATAAAGGCTCGCTCTTCGAAATAGGCTCTCATAAGTTTCACTAGAAGGGACCATGTAGAAATCGTCGAGCTCGGAGGGAAAAGTTTGGAAATGAGAATCATGTTCGCGGAAGACACGTAGAGAGCAATTATTGCTACTCCTTCCCGACCCTGATCACTATTCACCTCCCCAAGAATTATTGTAATTCTAGGAACGACTAAAGTGGCTGCTCATCGAGGGAAGCAGCGATGGATCGATTCGTTCTGACTCAATCTGCCGTTGAACCTGTGGAAAACCCGGTGAATTTTGATGATTCCGGAATACCGATAGTCGACAGAATATCGTCTACATGATATTGGAGAGATGGAGGAATTTCCGCGAGGGAGACAGATGTTTTGTGCTCGACATCGGGATAACTTGATCTATTGTAGACGAGAGAAGAATTCAAGCTTTGCACCAGACGATAAATTTTCAGCTCCGATTGAGGATACGAGACGCTGGAGCGGGGCTTTGGGCCTCGACGGATCCCGAAGACCCCCAAAGAAATTCCCTACTTTACTGCTTCCTTGATATTCGGGATAGAACGAGTCGGCTCCCTGAAGCTGGAACGGATCTGAGGTATTTTCATTCAGAAGGTGTGGTGCGATGGAAACCGAGCTCCACAATTGACTCTCAGAATAAGAATCAGGGTTGCATAGATCGTGTAGGTCCAAAGATATCTCTTATTGAACTGGGTACCTCAAGGTGAGCACGGAAGACAAGCTTGAGTAAGCTAGAGCGGGTTGATCAGGTAAATTCAGTGTTCAGTGTCATAATGAACCAAGTCTGGCGGAAGCATCAACCTTGGAACATTCAAGTCTCTGCGGGTTCCAGAGCTTCATGAATTCATGATCCGCGATACGTCGGGAGAATATCTACCTACTTGTGAATCCTGGACTATAGATTGGACTGCTCGGTGGAAGTCTGGCCGTATTGAAAGGCTTGTAGGCGACGGGAGCGCCTAATTTCATACGGAGGAGCTCCGGAACTGCTCATCAGAATTTTCCTCCTGCGATAGACGAAGTGCCAAGCAAGCTGATTCCCGGCTGGAGTGTTCCCGGCTATTCGTAGAATAAGCGCAAACATACCATACCGTCAGTCAAAGGAGGATGTCGTCGTTGAATTTCCGGGACTGTGTCCCGAAATCGTTCTTCCTTCAATGGTATGCAAGAAAAAACGAGTTTTCTTTCCTTCCTTGTCGCACTCGTCGCGACGATTCATTCTTCGTCGGAGTGGCCACCTCCAGGCGATAGCGGCCTGACGTCGAGTGCGCTCGATTGTGTGGTCGGACATGATTTTCAGATAATCTGAGGTTGAGCCTCAGCGAATTCATCAGCGAAGCTCCGGAGAAGTCTCGGGGATTGAGGACACTTGCGTAAAATCCCATGACGGTCCTCTCCCGGAAGAGCGATCCACTTCAGATGAAGATTTTGATCACCGACTTCTCATAGTTTACCAGCAAGACATTTTCTCCAAGGAGTGTCCGATCAGCCCCCGAAAATCGCGTGTTGATCGAGCAACCGACTTCCTTTAACGACCGCGAGCTTGCGGATCGCATCGAATTCCGGACCAGCACTCACAGAAGCGAGCGAGGTTGTCCGGAACAGGATTTGAAATACAGAGGAAAACCTCTACAATTGTCGGAATCTGTGAGGCGTCCGGGATAGTCTGCACCTATCTCTCCAAAAACTACGGCCCTGACGGAGCCAGAAAGTGTGAAACGGAAATCAACTATCAGATTTCGCTTGCGTTCCTCCTGGGAGGACGAAGAAATTGGAGTTCTTCGTGCTCGCATCGTCTGAGATTCGAAGTACTCGAATGTCTTCGAAATTCTTGGAGTTTCATCGGAGAATTAGACGGAGCGAAGCAGATGTGTAGCGACGAGTCGACGCCTTACCTGAATTCGAGCGTCATTGTCAATGCCAAAGACCAGCAGTCATCGCGGCTCAGCGGTTCCCGGTGAGAGAGCCGAGCTTCCCCTACGATATAGAATCGCGGGGAATCCCCTAGGATTTCCGGAAAACCATCGGTGAAATGTGAGATCGGCTCGGTAGATATCGATACCCTGCCTCGACCTCACCTATCATCGGGGAGTCTATCTTCGGAAGATAGACTTTATCGCCTATTCGAGCTTCCTAGCCCACGAATGAGGAAGTCGACGTCGAAGTTGGAAAAAGATTGTGGGGAGTTATTATGGCCTCTCCGACTAGAGCCATCGTTGGTGGATATATATTTATACACGATACGGCTTCTCTGCACGGAAACACAAGTCAGCAGGGGATTCAGCTCTCGGTCTCTGTAAGTTGAAAGTCACCTGCATGACAATTCTTGAGAGAGTCCAAAACAGGCACTTCGTTTGTCGACTGAACGATCGCCGAGCGCTCGTATGAGACCGTCTCAGAGCATCTCTGAGGGATACTTCCATTTGAGCCTTCGAGAACAGCGACAAGAAAATAAGAAAATGAGCTGAAAAAACTCGTGATGCATGGACTTGATTGATGCGTCGATCCGGGGGAAACGATATGAAGCGAGAAGGAGCGCATCGCGGAGCCGCGGATCATTCTTGCCGCTATGTTTCACAAACAGGGCGATTCACAAAAACTTTCAAGTGGTCAGATGACTGTCATTAAGAAGAAGGATGAAAGAACGATTCAGCATGACGTCACGATTTGTTTGGGAGCGAAATTCAGCATTGCGGTTCACTCTCTCTCTCTCTCGTTTCCCCGATTGTCTATGGCAGCCTATCAGTCTGCGAAGTATCGAGGGATTTCCAAATCGAACGATCAGCTGTGCAAGATGTGAGCCTGGGGCCTGGGCTCGGGCAGACTGGAAGAGAGATGCGTGTGGGATCCGCGTTTCATTCTTACAGTTATTCTGATGCTCACAGAGCAGTTGCTCAGAATCGTGGTTGGAACTTTTCCCCCGTCGGAGTATTGAGCCTATCGGAGCAAAAATGCAAGTAGTCTAGGTGGCGGTAGTACAGCTCGAAGCGAGGATGTGTAAATTGATCGTTACCATCGGTCATGAGGTTCAGCGGACCCTCTTTCTTCCACGAGCAAGGAATCGTAGGAGAATTTTTCTCTACGTCATCCATTCGTTCTGCAATATTAAATTTTGGATTCATTAATCGTCGCTCAAACGTTTGGTTAGGAAAATTCAAGCTGGAAAACATGGAGACACACGTTGAAACAATTGTTTCTGAAAAACTCATGACACGCAGTGCCGTTTGCCTGAGCTAAGAGGGAGGATCCGGCAAAAATATGGTGCCAGTTTCGCAAAAGACCCGAATCTCTCGGATAACATTTTCGAAGCTGTGCTAGTCTTCGCGCACTTCTCAATCCTTATGTAAGTTGGTGGCAACTCCGAGCGGAATCAAGCTGATTCGATTCTCACAATGATCGGATATTCGCGTGACTGCGACGGACTTTACCGGAATTCAAATCGCTGTGGCGTCACTTAGCCTATTCATCTCAAGTGTCCATCCGTGGGTCGGTCGATCGAATCATTTAGCATCTCTCAAGCGATATTGCCCTGTGTTCCGACCGCTCCCCCTTCCTAAATGTCTGTGACGTTTTTGATGACCACATCGATCAAGAAGGCGTGCGCTCCTAGATTGCTTTCGGTCTTACTCCGGAAAATGCAGAGCTCAGTTACTGCAAAAGAGTTACCTGTCGAATGAGGGTTCGACTCCGCGACTCTACTATCAATACGTACCCAGGGCGTCGCCGTCGTATCGTGGATTCCCGAGGTCTGGTGAAGACCGGGATTCGTCGGACGCTGTATTCCCGGGTTTAGAGTGAGTGTGGATACGGGCGAGGCTCGTCGTTTGTTCTTCCTTCTCGTCCCCGAACTTTCCTAAGAAAATTCGACTCGATTCAGGTCGACATATCCGCTGAATTTTACGCATCGGAGCACGGCTTCCTTGTGACTGATCCGAGCGATGAAAGTTCATTTCTTTCGGAACGATCTTCTGAGTCGAGAGAAAAATATTGCCTTTATACCCCACGACGGCTCTCATCCAGTCACGGGTATCGCGCGCGGTACCGGACGGCGAAATAAACATTGTTTATCTTCATGAGCCTCACGATGTATTCCGAAGACTTCAGCAAATGGACACCCGGAAGCTATGAGCCCGATGAAACTTAACGCGCGTAGTGAAGAGCATGAAATCGTTCCGCTCGAGATCAAAGCTCCCAGAGCCGAGCTGCGGTCTACGCGTCATTTTGGCACGTCCGTTTAGTGAACCAACAGAAAATTCCTACTCTGTGCTACGTCACTCTATCAGTCGGAGCTCTGAGATCCGATTCAGACAAGAGGGTGAATTTGCCCTTGCGAGAGATCTCGGGAGTCTCAAACACCCCGAATTTCACGACTGAATTTACCTGTCTTGCGATCGAGAATTCTCACAACGGATTGGCGCGCTTGGCATAGCTTATGGCACTGGAAACGAGCCATAAGCGATGAGCCCGGGCGCGATAAGAGGAAGGTGGAACGCCTCCTGGACAATTTAACATTGAGGGTATCACGTTCCAGCTATCGGCCTAGCAGCATCGCCATTACTTCCACGATGCCTTTGCTGCGAGAGAGTACCTGAGTCGCCTCGATTTCCGCTATTGCTCCGATTTTCTGCGGGGGCAAAAGCACTTTCTGTTTCGCTACGAATCTCCTCCTGCCATGTTGACGCTTCTCGTGAAGTTTTCCGATAGTCAAAGTTCTCCGCCGCTATGGCCAACTCGAAGTGAAGCTCCGAAATGGCGTCCCGCTTGCTCGCGTTCCGTGATAAAATATCTCGGCTGGCTTTCCCACCAAAGTCCGTCCGGTTTAGTTTCCACAGCTCCGCTGCTGGTCGTTTAGCTTTCGGGGCTTCCATTTATTCTGCTCTTTCCATCTCTTCCATCCGCAATGTTCAATGTTCCAAACCATCTGACGGAGCTGCAAGACTGCGGAACTCGTCATATGCAACCCCCCCTCCCGTGAACGCGTCCGAACATGCGAATTGGAGATATAGGAGTAAGTTGTTGGCGTGATTCGACTCCAGAAAACTCTATCTGCGGCCCGTACCGCTTGCTGCCCAGTCGTACCTCGTTTTTCCCACTGGTATCAGTCGGATCCTCGGCTATCGAAGGAGCATGTGATGGGGGACCCTCCGCTCCGGTTCCCTCGTCCCCTGGAAGTCGTGGGTGGGATACTCCACATTGGATTCTCTTCCGGATTGACGCAGATATGAGGGGATACGATGATGGATGTCCCGGGCGATGGGTCTTTGCTGATTGGGGAGAAATTTCCCTGTGAACCTAGTTCTCCCAGATCTGCCTAGACGAAAATCTTTCGGCGGGTGAGGCGAAACTCGAGTTCTCTTACTCGGCAGCGGGATGAGCATTGAATCATCTTCTGTCTGCGCAAGACTTTATGGATACCTAATTTCAAAGGAAGCGTTCGGTTTCGTAAATCCATGGGCGAAGGCGAGGCAATACTCGTCGAGCGGGGACAATTCCTCCAATCTTCCCCATAACTCCAATCGTTCCATCCGCAGACTTCCAAGCAGAGGAGCAATCCAAGCGAGAGCGACTGTGAGGAGATCAAAATGAATCTGACTCTGAAATCACGAAGCCATTTCGGGATATATCGCTATATTCCTTCATTAGAGTGACACACACAGAATATTCTGGTCAAGACTGAGCGACTCGAGTTGACGCCGAGAATTTCAACTCCGATTGTGAGTTCACTGTCCTCTTAGAAAACGTGGGCGTCGATCTCTTTGGCCAGAACGCATTCTAGACCCGCCGCGGTCCGAGTCCCGGGAGATTCCCGCGATCGCTCGTGGGAAGCGTCATAGCTACCTTAGTGCGCCCGAAACGTCCTCAAAAATGAAACGGTACGCAGTTGGTAAGCGAGTTGAGCCCCCCTCCCCCGTTCGCTCCTGGCTGATGTCAGAATCCCCCACCGCCGAGACCGTGAGGAGAAGCCCTGAATCTTGTGAAAGCACAATCAAGAGTCAATGAGCAACATTGGTAGGGAAGGGCGGCTATTATTAGTCAAATCAGCTCCGTTCCCATCACTGAAGAGCACAGCTCCGTTTTATTCTGGGCATCAGATTCCCTGAGCGTTGCGAAACGCGTCCCCCGCGAAATTCGGGAGCCTTCGTGATGATTGAAGGTCACGGTCAATCCAATGTAGATTTTGCCGGCGGCATCGCCGAGTCAAGATAACAGTAATACCTCTACTGCGCAATAGTGAGCTCTTCTCAGCCTTGCTGCCGGCGACAATGGTCATCCTTCAAGATGAATAATGATTTTCAACGCCACGCCGAATTTTGAACCCGACAAAAAGGTCAGTTCAAAGCAGGCGCGAGTCCACGGACCGGATAATTACTGAGCGAATAATTGATGAAGTTTTCTGATTCTCGACTGATTGAAAGACTAAACAAATAGACGATTCGATCGCATACCTCCTGAACGGATCCGGGTTGATCAGAGATGAGCCGCTGCAGTTGTCCATGCGGTGCTCTGTTTTTCTATTCTAGTGCCCTGCGCGTGAGCTCCTCCCCATGTGAGCTCCCCCCAATACCGGCCCTCCCCACATTCTGCGCTCGATCCACCTGATTTTTCGTGGGCTCGATTCGGAGGCGGCTTACGGCACCGGATGAAGGAATACATGAGTGGACGGGATAATGCGATGCGTGTTTACTCGACAAAATACATTCTTCTAAATCATCTCTCTCTGAATCACAATATTTGGCAACTTGGATGAAATATGATTTTCGTGAACAGAAAATATAATTTGTGCATCTGGTTGCTCGAATAATATCTCGTCGACCGATCACATAAATCTCCTCGTTTCAAGGAAGAGACGATCAATATTCTCGCTTTGCACATGAGTTCTCCTCCTCTGACCATAACGATCTGGATTTTTACACAAGGTGGGCTTGAAATGTACATGAATCGTCGACAGGGGCGTGATAATATCAGAAATCGTGTGAAACATGATCACTTCAATTATTGAAGTATGGCACAAGACGACATAATACTCTCGATGCGAAAGTTAGCCATGAAGCGGACCTTAATGTGAAGAATCGGCTGACGGCCGAGTCGATCGAGGCTTCATTAACTTGATTATCGGCACGAGGTCGCCATCTTCTTTCGACACTGGCGATCGGCAGCCGCTGAAGAGCGAGTTACCTGGAAGAAAATAACCTCCTCGATAATTGCGGGCCAGGGTACACGGTATTGGGCGGTGAGGAGCGCGTTCATAGAAGGGCGGGGGAAAAGGCAGAAGATACTCATGTTCATCTCCCCCCTTCTCCCCCGAAGACTCGGATACGTATAGGAAGTATTTCGGCTTCGGGGGGGGGAGGGCGCTTTATCTGTTTTTCGCGCCCTAAACTCAAGGGCCGCTCCCCAATCCCCAAGCTAAGGACATTGCTGCGTTCTGGGCGCGGAAAACTTCAAATTCTATCGAATACAGAAACTGCTTCCGGAGTCCAACCGTGGACCGCTCACAGTCTGCTCGCTTGATTTTGCTCAACCAGCTAAACTCAAACTCACCGTCGTCAGAGCTGGCGTCCGAAACGCTCTCAGTGTCCGTGTGCTCCTTAGCGAGTACGCACTCTTTGAAGCTGGGAAAAACCCTATCCACGAAATCCTGCTGCAGGTAGGTTTCCGCGTGCGGGAAATCTCCGACGAACTCCTGCCACTCGGAAGCGAAACTGGTATTCTTACGCTCCTGCTTCGGCAATTCCATTTGTGAAGCTGTCATTTTGCGGATCGCGTCGCGATTGTTCAGCAGAGAGTTGCCGAACTTTATGGAGATAATTTTTGAGCCTGGATCCATCTCTATTTCCATTGAGCGAGACGACCGCTGCGTGGAACGTCGAACGAGTGCACAAATCTAGTAGATGAAGAGAGTGGAATTCCTCTTCACTCAGGCGAAGCGCGCTGGCGGTGCTCGGTCAGAGACTCGACTCGAGTGCCGCTGCCAATGCGCGTTTTAAGGTCCCCGCAGCTGAAAGGACCACTTGTTTGTTTCTCGCCCTCGGTATTCGCTCTCGCCGCCCAGTAGGCTTCAAGTCTGGCAAATGGTGGCTATGTATAGCCAGACTGATGTACGGTTTCTTTAACTGAAAGGGATATGATAGAGTATGAGATGTTGAATGAAGCAGTAAAAAAAGAAGACGATGACGAACTACGCCGAGTTGTAGAGGGTGGACGGCGAGGGTTCCCGCTCGGGAGGCAATCTCCATAACTCTTTTTCTTCCATGCTCATGACACTATTCTCATATCTGTGGCTACAGTCCTACCTCCATGTGCTGCTTCTCGGACAGACGTCATCCTCAGAAATCGATGAAGTCGGATCATCCTATCGAAGTGCTTCCCCGATCGGCGGAGGGTTTGCGAATCGGACTCAGCCTTCACGCTGGAGTGTGAGATCTGACGTCTTAGCAGGATTTCTAGCGCTCTTCGGCTCCGCTTCGCCCACGGATATGCGGGTCGACACCATAGAAGCTGGCTCCACAGACCTTGGCCGTCATCAACAGAGCTGGAGTGTCGCACGGGTAGTTTGAGCGAAGTCAATGCAAGGTTAACAACAGCACGCACTTGCCGTTTTGAGTGACATCCGAGAAAATGTACGCAGCTACCTCTCGACCGACCTCGGAGTCGGAGGCATTCTATGTACCTACCTGGAAGACGACACAAAAAACTTGGCGAGTTTCTCTCGTTCTCGACCGAATAGAGAACCTCTCTCATCAACGGAGCTGCCGCACACAGGGCGCCTCATCATGGCCCTCACGGCTTCATAAACGCCACAGTGGTTCTTGGGAAATCAAATAAAAACTCGTGGTGAGCTTCGAGAGACTATGCTCGCTTCGACTCACCTTAAATGCATGGTCTGACAACCCTTTGGTTCACGACTGTCGGCAAGCGACAATTAGGTGTTTTCGAAGCGCACGAGGTGCTCGGCTTGTTGAAGAATTGCCAAGAGCATTTGTTTGGTGGCTTCACGCCCGGATTCTCTTCGAGCAAAAATAAACTCTGAAAAATGACCTTCGATCCCGATGTGCCGCTCTCGCGCGCCGTGACTAACAGATGAGCGTAAATAGTGATAGGATCCCTCCGGATGTGTTTTTGAGCATGTCGCGGAATGCCGGAAGAGCTTTGGGCTGTATCCATCGATGGATGGGGATGTCAGAAACCTCGCACGCTTGGAATAAATGAAAGTTATGTTGATGCTCATATGCTTCTATGAAAGCCGGAACCCCGCTCCGCAGCGTGGGAAGAGAGGCAAAGGTTTCGGTTCCCGCTCCCTATCGACTGCTCTGAACTTCGAGTCCGGGCGGAGTTCCACTATCGATATCAACTTTTTAATGAACAGCAAAGCCCATTGAAGACTTCTCCGGGACCTCACCCAGTGACACAATATCTCGCCGCCGGCAGGAATTCTTCCACAAATAGAACGTTTTCTCCATGACCACCCTTCGCTCTCATCTTCTTCCTTCTAAGTTCTGCCGTTCCCGAATCAGCGCTCCAGTGCACCTCCAGCCTAGGACGAGGGGAACTCCGCTTACTATCGAGAGCAGTATCGCGTCCACCTCCAGATTTTAGACAGAGAGGCGAATCGATTGACCGGTGAACCCTAGAAGGTAGAAGCAAGCGGTCATAGGAGGACTGGAACAACAACTACAACGCGACAGCTCAGATGTCAACGGATAATTTTGAGCCTCTCGTCAGCAAAGCACGAAGAGCCGCAGGACCCTCGATCGTGAGCTGACGGTGCGGTCCGCTGCGGCTCTCACAGGTCTTCCCCTCCCATCCGCCAGTCTCAGTTTTATAGAGCCTGTTCAATCAATCTCGACTGATCACCTGTTACACCTGATCAAAGAAGTCGTTGCACTCGCTGATGTACATTAGTCTGCAAGGCTTGCAGATAGCTGAGCCAGAGCTTTCTGCAGCGGCAGCGGGGATGATGTCTTACGCTGAACTTATCGAAGCCAGGCTTAGGGACCTGGACCTAAGGACGATAACATTGGGAGAGATGTATCGCAAGTGACAGAAAGAGAAGCTCAATGCGAGAAACGCGGCCGGATGAATCAGGCGGAGTTGACTTGTTTCTGCGGCCTGATTTCAGCCGACAAGCTCTCGGTGGGATGGTCTGCGCAGCTACAGAAGTGATGCATGAAATCTGTCATGCAATCTAATTTTCGGTGCTCACGCTCCCTCCGACCGCGTATCTGTCATTTCGTTCGGATCCTAGAAGGATTTGCACACGGAGCATCTTGTTGCCTTGGGACTCATTCTTCCCTTTTGAGTCTAGTTTGTCTCTGATAAGGAGTTGGTGTGGGGACAGCTGTGAGGGGGTGAGAATTTATTGGTTTCTCTCATCAATATAGTGCAAGGGAGAGGGAACTTCAAATGCCGGTGGAGACACATAATTTCCACACATTCTCTTTGGTCTTCCTTGTTTCTCAAGGCCAAAAAATAAAAGATTGCTATCGAGGAATATGGAGAAATTCGAATGAATCGTTCTGTACAGATTCCGAGAAAGAGCTCTCGAAAAGGATCATTTGTAGTCGAGCGAATCACCGTGGGATCTCAGATTCTGCCCCATTCTTCTGGAGACGGATCAGAGTCACGAGGAAAATTCATTGAGCGACGCGATCTTTCGAGACGCCCAATCGTTTCGGAAAGAAGTTTAAGGCGAAATCCGAGCTTTTTCGACGCTGCCGCATTCCGATTAGGTCTTCGAAGCCCGCGTGGGCTGAGCGAGACGAAGCTGACGCGAAGACCCTTGCACCAGGTGCCTGGCCTTGGCTACCTTACTCATCAAACAGAATGAGCGAAAAAAAGCTAATTGCAGCGCTAACATGCCGTGCACAGGTGGGCGAGGATCTTCTCCCGACTCTGTCGCTGTCTCGAGCTTTCAAAGGGTTCTCAGCGTGGTCAGTGAATCGTAGGGGGAGGGTATATCCATCTCCCTGCACACGGTATGTCTTCAGTATTATTCTCCCGAATGAAGCCAGGGTCAAACATGGGAGTTGGGGTTCGGACTTCTTGGAAGATTCCGATGCGCTCAGAACACATTGTATCTTTATTTCTGTGAGCTTCCGGCAAACGAAATGTTGAGAATGGATTCGGAATTCCCTGGTTCTTTTCGACGCTCACGTCTATTGGTGATATCGTTCCAGTCTGTTTCCATTTAATGCTCTCACCGATTCCTCGTTCCGATCTTTTCAGTACCCCACGTGTAATACCTACGTAGTTATATGAACTCGGTATTCAGGTGTATGGATGAGACGTGGACATCGATCGAATAGTTTCGAATCCATCGTTATGATCCGGAATACACGTGCGGAATATGGATCTTCGAATTCTCAGGACTCTCCGAATTTCCCACGTTTGGAGTAAAATCTGATTATCCTCGCTCTGGATATCGACCAAACTTCCGCAGGCCCAGTGGAGAGATATTTAAACATACTCTCTGGATGGACGCGTCCCATCCAAAATCTAGGGCTATGAGTCTCGAACGGGAGTGGCTCTGTGTACGCGCCACGCGACGAAAGTGTTCCGGAATGCGTTGACTCACAGAGTTTGCACTCATAATTCGAAAAGAATCCGGTGTTTGTTGTTAGCCCTTGGCACACATCGAGACTCGAAGGGCTTCTCTGAGCTGCTTTCTGGCTGCTCGGACATGCCAGTCTTATTTTTTGGGAAGAGCCGAGAAACAAATCTTGACGGCGAAGAACGATACTGAGCGCCTCTCTAGGAGTTGCCGGTTCCTTCAACTCTGGGATGAGCCGTAGGTAATCGGCGGTCGGTAGAAACCGGCTGACGCCTTTCGAGGAATGGTCCTGGAACATCGGATCTCGGAAGAAGACTCGCCATGATACAATGGGGCATCGATGGTGATTTTACTTTCTTAAGTTTCGGCCTGATCTGGACAGCTTCAAACGATGAGTAATTCTTCGCCTGGACTTTTTCGGGAGAACCTACGAAGCCGCCCCCTCGTTTTTTGGGAATGCTCGCCCCGCTCATGGCCAACCGGGAATGTTCCGGAACATTTTGGTGTGACTTCGCTCCGGTCGCGAAAATTTATAATTTCATTCCTCAGTGCATTCGAAATGAAGCAAAACGAGCTGCGGCTCTCACAGGTGGATATTGGCCCCAGAATGAGCCCGGGGAGCCCATCCGGAAAAGAAGCTTACCGGGTGCGCGAATTGAAAAAGCAACGATGCATGTCACCGCTGAATAAGGTAATTTTCCAGCTCCGAGATTCCCATATGCCATCCTCGGCCGTCTCGCCTCTCCTCGTTACGCTTCAGGGGTAGGTGAATCGAGAATCGAGTTGAGCTTTGGTCGTGCTGTTGAGAGGGAATAATTAGCCTCAGCGTTCCGGAAAATATGCCTCTGAGAGGGAACGGGAGTTCGGGAGGGCCGAACCGGACCGGAAGTTCTCTGAAATATGAATTTCCTGGTTCACGCAGCCCCGAGCGCGGTCGCAACTCGCTTCCTGAGCGGTTCCCGCCACGTGTCTAGAAACCAGAAGACAGTGAGGGACATTTTTCTTCCAAGCGTTCCTATCCTCGAGACCGGTCCGGAGATTTGTGGGATGCGCAGAAATGCTTCGCCTCGCCGGATCATCATACCTCGTCATGCTTGGTCAACGAAGTTCTCTCGACAAAGCTGCCCGAGACTGCGGTCACTGCCATGGTGGAGAATTCGTTTGCATCGCGTATTTCGCATTTCTGAGTTCGTAAACAACGATTAAGATTTCCGCAAGCACCTCACACCCATTTCGGGGGGGGGGAGGGGGCTTGACACGGATTGAAGCAGATTTACTATTGAAGGAGACCGGTATTTGATCACTCGAACGATTTCCGTACACTCAGACACTCGGGTATCTCCTCCGAGCCGAGCGCGACTTCCCCGTCGGAGTCGTTTCTAGCGAGTTCCTCTCGGGTGTCTCGGGCCCTGAGCTCCTCGGATCCGGCTCCGAATCTCGTCGGATGACGCCCGATGGACACGCTCCTCCGAGAGATTGGAGCTCCTTGTACGCATCCCTCATCTCGCGAGACGCCGCGAAATTGCCAAATATTCTTCCGCTCGGTGCCGGAGCGTTTCGGGCCTCGAGTTTCTCGTAGAGCACGACTCAGATGCGTGAGTCGCCCGAAAGCCCCGAGAGCGAGAGTGAGAAATATCTTAGGAAATCTGTGTCCTCAGGGAACGGAGCTGAAGAGCGATTGCTTGTCAGTCTGCTCTCCAATGGCTCGTTTCGAATCGTAAGGGTTATTCATAGGGTTCGGAAACGTGCAGTGCGACAGCGGAAATTTCCGCGAAACTCCGACGATGAGAATGTCGACTCGTCGGTGAAACCAGTAGACAGGAACGTTTACCAAGAGCCTCATGTGCTGAATCTCACCAGGTGCACCTATGGCTTGAAGCCACCTGGATAGAGACCTCTGAGAAGCGTCTGTCAAAGTCAAGGCTGTGAGACCTTGACGCGGGATACGTCCTGCGTCAAGTTAGTACCCGTGCCTGCTCGTCAGATTGAAGCTGCTGTCATTCGGGGACGTACTGACACAGTCGGGCGTTTGTCGGGTGCTTGAAGCCTGTATACATAGAACCGAAAAAACGAAATCAGTCCGATCTGACCACTGGGATTCGGTTTCCCTCATCGGAGCTCGGGCACTCCATCTCCTTTTTCCGATGAACGACCTCCGTTCAAGTTATCGGTAGGTTCTGATGAAGGATCGGGGGGAACTTGCGGAAGTCCCGTGAGTTTTAAAAAGGAAGGTCTGGATTCGATTCCTGCTCAGATACGTGATACGGAGGAGAGAATTGAAGACGGAATTCAACGAGCGGGAAGAAATCATTGAAAGCCTAAACGTTCAGTGAATCCTCCTCCAAACCGACCACTCGACACTTGCTCTGCTCGTTGACAGATGATATCGAGGTCCGAGAATCGTCGACCAGACATCCTTCGCAAACATTGGCCGATTCTCGGAGCGCTCGCTCGAAAGAAGACCTTGGGCTTCTCACGCGAGGGAGCGAGAGAGTGCGCGTGTAGACGATCGACCAAATCTTCATCTCAAACGAGAGGCAGATGACGATCGCACAGAGTGGTACCGGTAGGCGAGCGAGCTCTTCGTTCCGTGCCAAAAGGGTTTAAAGCAAACGGTCATGTGACACAGAACTCAGAGCCAGGGGCTTCGCTATGGATCACCTCGCGAGCAACTTTCTTAATCGACGCAGCATCGGCTTCGTCACAGAGCTGAAATTCTTTAGCGGCATGAGCAAACTCTCGCCGGGGTAAATCCTCACAGATATTCGGGGAAAAGAGCTGAAAGTTCAGTACTCCAATTCTTTCGCTTGGGACTCCTCGGAAATCTTGAAACCGTAGCCAGCTCCGGCCTTCGGCGAATCTTGATCATTCTCATGTAGGAGGATCACCTGGGTAGTTCCAATCATTCCTTGCGGGCGTATCCGAAGCGAGTGATTGGTGCCAGATAACACGTTCGGACTGCGCCCAGGATTCGCGACTCGCGATCCGAGCATAGAGTTGGGAAAAAGTCGACATCTCCAAAAGGAACCTGACAGCGGGAGCCCTCGGCACGATCTTTTGCCTTGCTTACGCCCCGAAAGACGGAATATTCCCTGGATACTCTCCGTCCGGATTAGGAAGCAATTTTGAGTTCTACTCGCGCCTGCCATCCACGAGAGTGCGGCAGATAATCACGATTTCCGCCCGTTGGAATTCGAGGAACGTATCGGGAGCAGGATCCGCTCAGGTTCATGTATACGATAGTTCCAGGAACCGACAGCACTCAAGGACCGTCGCATGAAGGAGCCAGAGACAATCTACGACTACAGAAGGCAATGAACGCGGAGTGATCGATGATCGTACATTCGTCTTGCTCGGCGGCTGCCGTCTCGGGCTTTTTTAAGGGCTTTTTGTCTTTTGAATATTATACCGATGAAGTCGCTTGCTCAGACTTCCCGATGGGAAGGCTGTCGGCTCGTTTGTATCCCACGAAGGAGGGCGGTTAAACCCAATCGCGACTCTTTCTAGGAAAATCTCCGTCATTGATCGACTGCCAGGCTCCGGAGCCAACCGAGCTGTTTCCGTGGATTTCACTGCAGAATTAATGGATGAGAGCTATTTTTCCATCATGACTTTATTGAAGGGATGGATGTGAATCTTAGTTCACGCCAAAAACAATTTGGGTACGTTCGCATTCATTCACGGTCGGGATTGCTGCTCCTCGCTGATCTTATTGGGAACTTCTCGACGTTTCGATCAGAATCCAGAGCGGTTTATAATATGCTTTGCTCGATGATGTCTCCAAATAGATCGGGCTGCAGTCTCCATCTCGACGAGAGACCAAGACACACCAACTATCTAAAAATAGATGCACGCAAATCACGCTGAAAATGTCAACAGCCTGGAAACTAGTCGCTTCACAGACGTCGAGCTCTACATATGCAAATGCAACAACAGGAGGTAACTCGCTCCGATCATTCTGGAGATGAGTGGCCCACGTGTACGACGTTTATCTGGTGAACGCTACAGCATATCCTTGTCTGATTCCGAAAATCCACGCGAGATTGCGCGCAGGAAGGCTGCGAGCCTCGAGAGTCCCGGATTCAGAGCTTGCTATCGACTCGACGTCACGAGATTATTCAACTTTTTGAGCCCTGCGACGAGACAGGATCGAGCTCCCTACTTTCCCCTAGCTTTTGAGCAACAAACATTTATTGTCCCTCGCTTTCGGATCTTCGAGTGATCTTCGATCGACATAAAAACAAAAAATCTCGCTGGCTCTGAGCGGAGATTCGTCCCTCAGCTCTAAACGTGCTCCGAAAGCTCTCGGCTCTGCCCGCTCGAGCTTCAAACGAGGAATTCGGGGTCATCCTGCGTGAAAAAGTTGTAAATTTTATTAGCACTTTCCGCGCCGATTCTGAACGTTCTCTGCAGGGGCGGCTGACCCACGGTGACCCGAATGTCTTCGAACACCTCCGCGACGGGTTTCCTCAATAGCTCTCTCCTCAGGGCGCTCACCGAGGGATATTTTTCCGCGACGGCTTTCGCCAGAGGATTCGCGGCATGAGTGAAGAACATCTCGAGAAAGGCCACCCATGCGTCTCTACCTGAGCTGGCCGTCCGTTTTCCTCCCTCGAAGCCGAGGACCTCTTGCCGGAGGATTTTCGAATGTTTTTCAGCCGTAGCTTTCGTCATACAGTACAGTAGCTGATAGATTTCCAAGGGATTGTGCACCGATCTCACGTTGAATAGCGAATCCAGTTGATGGAGGATGATAATGTCTTCTACGTTCTTATGAATGGACTTTCCTGACTCGAGCACGACCATCAGGGTCATGAACTTCGCTCCGTACTTGCTGGGCCAACTTTCTATCTCTGCGGTCATCTTCTTGCTCATCAGTGCGAGCTGTTCCGGGGTTACCACGAGCACCGCCTGGTCATTGATGAAATCGTCTGAAGACGAGCTCCATGTGATCAAGTCCGGTAGAGTGTCCTCGATCACGAATTCACAACACTTAGACTCCTCGAAGAGATCTCTAACCCGGTGGAAATGCGGCATAGTCGCGAAAAGAGTTCTGGACAACTCAATCTTCAGATTTGGGAATTCCATATCTATAGAACTGGACCCATTGCCTTTGAAATCGTCGAACACTCGAATCGCTCAGGCCGTTTCGCGCCCGACGGCGCACAGCTGATCGCCTGAGTTAGGGTTGGATTCTACCGAGCCCTGTTCCCCGGGAAAATTCTCTTCCATGGCGAGGAACTCAAATTTTTCGGATATAGGATGTGGTTGAGGGCTTCCAAGGATGCATCAGGCATTATTTGCGGATCTCTCAGCAGGCATTATTCGCGGCAGACGATGTCTCAGATCGAATGAGCTCCCGTAACGAGATGGTAGATCCCGCCCGCGTTTCGAACGCTACGTCAACACAATAAACAAAGCGTCAAGTCAGCTGTCCGGCGACGAGAATCGCGAATTCCTGGACGGTGAGCTCACGTTGAGCGATTTCGGTCCTCCGCGGTAAGGAAACGGCAACGGATATGGAGAATTGTTTCCAGATGTGTCTTCCGGATGTGTCTTCCGTATGTGTCTTCCGTATGTGTCTTCCGTATGTGTGATCTCGTCGTGTTTGAGTCTCCAGGGAGCGAGGCATGCGGCCCAGCCACCAAGGAATATTGTCGATCGAGAGCAGTGGTGATCGGAGCGGAATGTTTGTCAAACTCACGAGGAATACCTCACCAGCTTCATTGATGGCATTCCTTCATTTATAGATGTCGACAGGCTCTGCGCCGGCCGTGGAGCCGGGCCAGCCGGCCGGAACGTTCCTGCAGAAGAAACTGACAAACGTTTTCGAAATGGGGCTGGAGAACGATCGTGAAACATTGGAGATCCTGGCTCATATGTCCACATTCGTCACGGAAAACAGTATTCGGACCCGCAGGTGAGGAACGATTCATCTCGAGCATCGGGAGAGATTGGCTTGGGAGTTGTCGTGCAGCCCCGATGAAGAGAGTCCAGACTTTAGTCGCGCGTGAAGTTCGAGAAGTCTCACGAGTGCTTATGCAGGAACCTTCGCGGGGAAATCGAGAAGCAGAACTTGGCCGTGAATGAGGAGTTTTACGAATCCTTGAAATCCCTCAAGACGCAAGTTGATTCGTTGTGCGAAGACATCGGAGTCATGAGCACCTGTTGCGAGGATATAATCACTCAATTAAATACTACGAAAGCTAAGACGCATGGTGAGTTTTTCTCCTGGAGCTTCTGTCAATGTTGCCGAGCTACCCTGACGTCTTCAGATTCTTATCGATCGATCACGAGAATATCGGTGATTGACGAGAAACTCGCGCACCGACAGGTGAAGGGAACTTCCAAGTCTGACGGATCTGACATTCCAGGGTTGATCAGCAAAACATCCACCATGAAGAAGGAAACCTCGAAACTTGAGAACAACCACGCCTTGGCTACTGCCGTGCTTGAACACTTCCAGCTGACTCCCGAAGAGATCCGTCTCCTTCAAGGAACCCCGAAAGATCTCACCGTCGAGGATGGTTTCTACGCCGCTCTCGACAAGCTGAAGAAAATCCATGACGATTGCAAATATTTGGTACGCTTTCTTCGAAGTCCCAACCGACCTACCGTCGCCTAGCGGCGAGGTTGGGGTCTCGCGGAGTCGACTCCTCGGAATCTCGAGTCGCTCGAAACGGGTGTTCGATAGCGGAATCGTCCTGGGAAGCGTTGAGAAGAATTTCCAGTACAGCGACGACCTGAAATTCATTCATAAAGCTCCGCTTCCAGGTGCGGTGCCATCAGCCGACTGCTGGCTTGGAGATCATGGAAAATATGTCCCTTCACATGGAGGCCGCCTATGAGCATCTATTCAGGTGTGAGCGGGGAGCAAGTGATACACCGGTTCGGCGATTGCGCGACGATTCGCTCCTGCACGTGGCTAACGAATGAGTTTCGCTCCTCAGATGGATCCAGTCGGAATGCCGCCTGACAACCGATGAGACGTCGCTCTTCAAGCTATCGAAAGGCTTCGCCGCTCTACACGCGCGACCTCTGCTCTTCAAAAAAGCCATGGCAGAATACAACAACGCCAGGAGAGCCTCCGTCCTGCGCAGTCTGATTGACGCCCTCACGAGAGCGTCTCCCGGTGGAGGGAAACCTATCGAATTTTACTCGAGAGACGCTCTGAGGTATCAATCGAATTAATCCCTCCTGTCAACCACACTCTTCATGATCTAAATACATGGGTTCGATAAAGGGCGAAAACTGTTGGTGACGTAAATCGACTTCTCAGGTACACCGGAGACATTCTAGCTTGGGTGCATCAAACGGTGGCTACGGAACGAGAGAACTTCAAAGTACTCCTCTCGAAATGTGAGAGTTTCGATCTCGATGCGATGGCCAGCCAAGCCATCGTCCACATCACCGAAGGCCTATCGCTGCCCATCAAACAGCGATTGGAACAGGTATTCGTTCCCTTGCTCGAATCAAAGAGTGAAATTATTGCTCCCATTAGGCCAGTAACATGATATTCCTCGAATTTTCTGCCGGAAATCTAAGTTGTTCGAAAACTATTCCAGATCATGACGCAAGAGACGAACACTGTGACACTATACCGCATCTGGAATCTAGTGAATTTCTACAACAAGTCACTCGATATCTCGCCGGTGGACGATGTGGACGTGAAGGACACTTCATTGTGCAACACGATCCGAGACCTACTCGTGCTGAGCAAGAAATTGTTCACGAATTCCCTCATAGGACATACGTCTCGCCTGCTGGAGCGTGTCGAAGCTCCGTCCGGAGACTTGGGACCCCCAATATGTTTTCAAAACGTTCTGGATCTTCTGCGGCAGATATTGTCGTGTCAGGACTCGCTTTTGGCGGAAGGTATTAGCACGCTGGCTTGAGTACCCATAAAGAGTCCACCAGAGATCCTGGAGTACAAGAGCCCATCCGCCGCTTATCGGAGATGAAATAATAATTTATAATAATAAATCCTGTTTTCATCTCTATGACCTCTTTCCAGAGCGGCGGCTGGATATCGTACAGATACTCAATCTCATGATTGACCCCCTGATCCAGAGTTGTCAGCTGTCGGCATCGAAACTGGCTGCGCCGGACATGGCCTCCTACATCACGAACTGCTTATATACGCTGTGTACGGTTTTGTGTGTTTATGAATACACGGAACAGAAGCTGGAGCTGTGCAAAGCCCAGATCGAGGCCCATCTGTCGACGCTGGTGTCAGAGCAATGCTCGGTCCTACTAGGCTCGTTAAACATGGGATCTCTGTTCAAAATGTGCGAGGAACCGACAAGTATCTGCGGCCCGGCATCCCAGTTGCCCGGCTGTGACTCTATCGCGGTTCAGACCTTCGCTTCGAAGTTCGAAGAGTTCCTCGCGAAGCCCGATTTGATGACAATACCGCAGGTGAGCATTCTGTTGTGGAGGGTTCAATCCGGTATTCCTCCATTGATGGCTGGAGAAGTGTAAATCTGGGAGGGGCTTGCGCGGATGACAGAAATTTCGTTTTTTTCCAGGTGTATCTATTGTTGAGCGGACTCCATCGCCAGGAAGTCAAACAGCGCACTCTGACAGTCATTTACGGAGCTTACGAGAAGTTGTTCAAAATAGTTACAGATCCGAGTAATGCTTACACTGATATCGCTCTCAGAACCCCAGAAGATGTGAAAGCTGTACTTTTTGGCAATAAATGATGCACGGTCTTTTCCATGGCCTGTGAAGTCGAAATCTATTGAGGCGCTGGCTCGCTTAGTGTGAACAATCACACTCCGTTGCCGCCTCGTTGGGCTCCGTCGCCCGTTGGGATTATCCGGCCCAGACTGTCGCCGACCAGCCCCACACTTTAGATCGCTCTCGAATACCTGAGCACGGGGCCTGTGGATGACGGAAAAAATTAACGGCGACGACATCAATGGATATATGCGGGAAGTTTCTCGAATAGTCGAGGTAGACCCATGGAGAGTATGATTGTTCGGTGATATGCGTAAAACGCTCCCCGTTTGTGACTGTGGTCACCACGTACTTGCTCAGATGTTTTTGTGAACTCCTTGCGCCGACGAGAGCCGTTGCTCATGGGAGATTCTAAGGAAGGAAAAGTATTGCGACGAACGCTCCCCGTCAAAAGGTCTCGCGAGAAGATCTTCCTTCCTCTTCCGATAATCGAGTCGGATACCGTAGACCCGATCGACTTTCCCGCGTCCCGTCTGAGGATTTGTATTTCTCACCGGTGAGTGTCGCGTCCCCTGACGTTGGAGACTGCCCGGATCTCGCGCTCTCACGTCACATGTGAACAAGGAGAGCTCTTCAATGGAAATTAACAATCTCTCGCGCGACTTCTTCTTTATTTTGTTCATCTCAGCTCGCGGTCAGCAGGCTCACAACGTTCAGATTCGAGATATTCAATCTCTCGAAATATTCGACTGAGGTTTTCCAATTTGAGATTTTTAGCACCACGTTGACTCCCGAAGATGCTGCGTGGACCACGTCGCATCGCGCGAACGGATCCCATCTTTCAACGACGGTTTCCTGCATTGAAACATCCGGTTAGTGCCATCGCGGTGCCAAAACCTCGGGATTCGGAACAATTGACTTTCCCGACGCGCCTTATGGCTACGTCGTCTTTCTCGGAGAATCCAGCTCCTCTCACTTTTCGGGGATCATGAGCTGAACTTACTGCTGCGAACGTCGTTTCGGCGCTCTGATAGAGATCGCTCGTTCTATACAAAACGAATGAGGATCCCTGTCTAGCAAGAACGAAGAACGTGTTCGATCGTCCGATCGGGGTCAAGTATTCGATGAAAAGCTCCTCGCAGCAGAGTCTCCACGTAGCCTCGTTCCTCCGTCGGACGTATAGACCCCAACAATGATAGTAGAGCAAGGCACAGTCAGCGCCCAAGTACATCCTCGCCAGCCAACCCTCATGCGGGGGGCTCGGTAGATTTTTCAAGGGGCTCGAGTCGGGAATTTCATTCGGACAGGGGGCCAGCTTCTTCGCGAAGATAGCTTGGAAACTCCCATCGCTCATCCAGAGCAAGGGTTCGTTATCGTCTAGTTGGGTCATGATGGCTCGAACTCTCTGAGATTTCATCGACGTCTCGATGTTGTTCAAAAAAGTTCGGTAGACTCCGTGACAGTCTATCTCAGCGTAGAATCTACTGAGAGGATTACAGACAATCGTCGGATTCCGCCGAGGGATATCTCGACCGATCGAAACCAACGGTTTCACTGAGTTTCCGCGAAAGCCGTATATCTTGTTCTCCAAGAGGATGACTTTGTTTGGGTGGAACGGAGGCTCGCTCTTGGGCGCCAGAGGTTCCACGCTCTTGATTGCAGATTTCGCTCGGTGGGCAAATATTGGTTTCTCAAAAACGGTCTTATCCACTGCCGAAGCCTTCGGTGCGGCGGTCACGATGCCGTTCCGACGACTTAGGGTCTCAGCAGCGGGTAGTTTCGCGGATCCGATGCGCCCGGAGCCCGGGCCAAGGAACTGAGGCTTGGCGACATCCGGAGTTTTCCCCCCTTCAGGAGCACTAGGTTTCCCTGCGGGTTCTCTAGGAGGCTTGTCGTCACCTGCCGATACCGCGGGAATGGGCTCGACGGTGATCAACTTGAAGGGCAGTGCGTTGACGTCGGCAATTTCAATCGGCGAACTCATCTCCCTCGCAGGCTCCGCTTCCGAGATCGGCTTCGTATCCGCTGCAGCTACCGATTCGGCAGCAGTCGCTATCACAGGTTCCGCCAATCCGCAGTCTTCAGGGACCGGCTGGTCGAGGATCGAACTCCTAGTCACTGCTGGAGTGGGGCAGGGTTCGAGAGCGGGATCGACCAAGGAGGGAATTTTTTCCTGATTCTTTGCAGGAATATCCGGAAACGTCGATGCCGGCTGCTTCTTGAGGACCTCTGTTTTCTTCAAAACGTTCGACTCCTCTGAGGAAGCACTGAGCGTTTCGTCCCCATTCTGCTGTACGAACTTGCTGACAAGTTTGACGAAACCCAATTGACGATTCTTGATGTCAGCTCTCCACCAGCGGTACAGGATCCGCGGAACACATTGGCTCCTCCGTTTCTCCAGGAGTCTTTGTAGGAACTGGTCGTCGATTTTCAGCATCTCGTTCTTCACGCGAGCGATCTCGTTCAGATGCTCCGCGACGAAATTCTCGAGTTTTTCGACCAGCGGACGCAGTCGCAATGTTTTCGCCGTCGACCAGAAGTCTATGACATTGTCTACGGTCAGCTGAATCTGGAGAACGATTGGAACATATGTTATATGACAAATGAGAATCATCATTGCAATTTCAGATGAGTTTTCTGTGGCGGTAAGATTAGTTCCTATCAAGCAGATTGTCTTGAGGCTCGTGAATATACATACCCTTTGACCGCCGGTGAGCATTCGCGTGACCGAGTAAACCGCATAGAAAGGCTGGTTCGTGACGATGAGTTTTGCCGGGGCGTCGACATCCAGCTCGCTGGCATTCCTCAGGAGACCGCGATCGACGATCACTCGCTCACCGAAGCGACAGCTTATTTCCACCTGATCCCCGACACTCGTCGTGGGATTCTCATTTTGAGTCATGGTCCGAATTTTGATATTCCCCGAGGAGATTTTGCTTCGTTTTTCAATTTAGTTCGTCACGATTCGAACCATTGATCCAGGCTACCCATCTTCATTGGGCGGACAGGTGAATAATGGAGCTCCTTGCGAGTGTCCGCAACTAGAGTCCGATCCATCTTCAGTTCCGCTGTGGTTCTAGCGTCCCACACCGTGGGTAGGTCCGCGCGCTCTCTTTCGAGCTTTGCCAGATTAGGAAGGAGTCTGGATATTCTTAGTGGCATTAATTGAAGCGGATGCCCATCAACGATGCGGTTCGCTGAAGATTCGGCGTCCAAGAGGATTGGATTTCATTTCATTTCACAATGATCTGCTCGTTCGGAAATGAGGAAAAAAATTCTGCGTTCGACATGAGGACTAGCTATTCGCACATTGTACGTCGAACAGTGTGTGTTCGCTGTTTGGAGCCTCCTCCCCATCAGAATCATCAGAGTGGACCTTGAAGCCGTGCAAAACGTACTCCTATTCCCACCTCCTCCTGTCTGCGGAGAGTCCGCGAAAATGATGAATGTGAGTTGAGCTTCAGTTGCTGACCGTGCACCATAGGCTGACGGTGGAAGTAAGCCGGAGAATTCAATCACGGGTGCATCTCGATTCGACATCCAATATCTTCGGAGCTCAGTACAGGATATTCAGTGCAAGAGCCTCACCTCCATGACACTGAGACTCTTGCTACTCGATCACCGTGAGCTGAGGATACCTACATTTCCCTAGTTCCCCCTCTCATAGAGTTCCTAATCCTCCGGAGCGTGATCCTTCTCAGAGGAAATCTGCCCTTCCGGACCTGACTCGGCAACGATCTCATTCCGACTCTTCGAAAATTTCCGTCGCTGAGAACTTCTGCATCGAGAAATATTTCCCGGAACAGGAGTCTCAAACAAAGTCCATTGACCGTTCGAGGTGAGTATGCATCGATTTATGGAAGGCTCAAAGCCCACAGTACGCCATCCGCATACCAGGACATACGCGGGATTACGAATTCGTATTTCAGATGTCGTCCGAGATTCAAGAGATTTCGAACGGATCACGATTCCGTCCGCGGAGCGGTCGAAAGCTGCCTCCACGTGCCGATAAGTTCAGCAAGCGACGATGTGGAAGAGGCATGTGTCAGTCGAACCGGAATAAGAGCCTGCGCGAAAGTTTTTCTTCACGGAAAGCCTTCCCGGGTGCGAGTTCCACCACCGGGACTTGTTTCATTGACTGAATCGCGAAGTCGTGCAAATAAGAGACCCCAACGGATATCATTAGGCCTAAGAGACTCGGTCCTGCTCACGGGAAGAATCCAGCCGGCTCATGCATCTGACCCGTTAATCCGATTCCTGCAGATTCAACGCAAGAGGACTTTCTGCCGATTGTGCCGCTATCCAGCCCCTTTGGAATCCCGAACCTTCACAGTGTCTGGCAGAGTGTTTCACAAACAGTGTTTTCTCGTGAGTTTGCCCCCCCTCCCCCCCTACGTACCGTGGTGAAGAATACCTTTCGATCTGTTATTACAATGCTCCCGTCTCCGGGGTCATTCTCTGCGGCATCCGGATTCGAGCCAACTCCTTTACCGAACCGACTTTTTCGAGCTCTGACTTCTGATATACTCCCACAGGACTGTAATTTTTCTGACTCAGAACTTCTCGAAGCATTCAAGGCCAAATGCGGCCTCCCTCTGGAGGAGAACGTGTCGAAAGACGGAAAAGAGCGCTCGATTCGCCCCCGTTTCCTCGAGCGGATCAAGAAGCTGATCACGAAAATCAAGAAGCTTCGATGAGATGACGGAAATCTCCGCGATAAAAATCATCTCCTGGTTGACGGATGCGGCGCTGACTCTGAATTTTGAAACTCGTCCGAGCTTCCCGCAACTTTAGCCGAATCGGATTAGCAGGCGCCGCGATATATGTAGTTTCGTCGAGGCTGCTGATGATCAATATGACAAAAGCTCGTTTAAGAAGAAGATCTCTCGGTCAAAGATATTATCAGCTGTCCTGACCGTCCCGCCTCAGGTAGTTTGCCCTCTGCAGCCTGAACTGTAGGAAAGGGAATTGACCAGCAGGCTGCGGCTTCATCCGCATGAGCACGACGGAAACGTGAGAGACTGCAGAAAGCATGCATCTTATGCTCGGAGTCCTGACAATTTATTATCTAGCATGGGGGCGCCGGGGCGCGGATCTTAATTTAAAATACTTGGGAGCTTCTGTTTCAACAAGCTTCTTGATCCCAATCGGAAGTCAAGTCTCGATGAGATGGGAGCTCTCAATAAATACCATCGTTGTCATCGGAATTCCTCTTATGGAGAGGACTCTTTCGAATAATTGAGGATTGAGGCGACCTTCGGTGAAAACAATGGGACTTAAACGAGTGAATGAAACCTTAAGTTGCGATTCTCCAGCGACCTTGATGGAAGCTTCCAGCGGTCAGAGTATCTGAGCATCGGAATGCGTAATGTCGAATGACGTATTCTCACCTTGCGGGGAGATCACGTCGTGGCTCATGATTGAGTGGAGGATAAGCAACGGGGCTCAATCTTCGTATTCCCTACTGCCCGAATGCCTTGAGCTGTCTTCCGTTGCTAGAATGTGAAAATTCATTTTAATCGGTGCCTCGGGGACCTCGCGTAAATATATGGTCTCGCCTTCCGGTACAAAGTGTCTCCCAAGCTGTCGGTTTGTGAGACTTCAAGTTCTTCGAACTCGCATCTTAAACCTCCCGTTTCCCCCATTTTGATAGCTCTCTCATGTCGGCGTCTCCTGGTTCGTCTCTCGCGAGCTTGACCACAGTGTTGCTCTTCGAAGTTAGTGAGATATGTATTTCTCAAAACTCACTCACGAAAGCCTTGGTGACCGTGATGTATTCTCCTTCGTCATCCAATTTGCGCGCGGGCTCTGACCGCAGGTTGAGAGTCGGAACTCGGGACTTGAGATCATTTTTGAGTTCTCGACGACTTGAACCCTCTTTTTCATCCAAATGCGCACCCGTCTGACCCTATGCCGTTCGTGAGGTTTCGCGCGCGACATGGTACCGATCTCTCCGAGAAAGTTTGAGGTGTCTTTCGAGAAGATCCTCCTCCCTCGGCCCCACGCTTCCGTTTATGTGGACGACAAGTCTCCGGTCACATGTTGATAAATCGACCGACATCGTCATTCGCAGGCGCTGCAGTCATTGGTCACTGGCTGTGGAAAATTACGTCTCCGATTCACTCAGCCCACCTATCAGTACGCTAATACAGCCCATATATCTGACCGCGGCCTGATGCTGACTGAGATTGGTGCACTTTTGGTTCCCATCAGGCGGAGAGACTGGGTCTTGCAGCGAGGTAATAGAGCCTGTGGCTGTGATCGAACACGGTCGATTCTGTTCTGTTCATGCTTATTCGGAATCACCGATGAAAAGGCCGGAATTCACTCTTATCTACCAACGATTATTGTCAAACAGGCGTGATGCATCCGCTTAATAAGTATATTGGTGAGCAGATATTCCTGCTCCTCTTCATATGATTCCAGGGGTTCCCGAATCTGAAAATGCATCACGGAGCCCGGAATGATTCTAAGACTGAGACACCCCCTCCCACGTCGATGACATCCATTTAGTTTCTGCTCCACGTTATGTCGCAACCGGGCACCACGTTGAACGTGCATTCGCAAACATATGCTCCCGCAGGAACAAGCCATCTCACTCAAAGGAGGCTTGGTCGTCATGATGAGCTCCTACGCTAAAGAGACTGCGGTGGGTATCGATCAAGAGCTTTTTTGTGGATATAAAATTTATAATTTGTTTATAATTTATAACTCGGATTCAACCGATCGGCTTCGAAAATCCTGACGGTCTGCCTCGGGTCATTCCCTGCATGGTGATAATAGGGATTCCACCCTTAGACCTGCTCTGCAGAGAGCTCCTTCGATGAGCTTTTGGAAATCCAAGAAGGATACGTGGTGCTACCAACACCCCATGAGGAATATGAGTGGTTGATGCTGCCACAGAACATCGACACGCAACCTGCGAACGTTACTCTCGAGCTTGATGGAAAGGACGAAACCTCGAGTGTGGTGCCTCCCATAGATCCTGAAGGAGAAGACGAGGAGCAGGCACCAAGCACTTTGCCACAGCCACACGATGATATCGAAACGCCTAGCGCTCACAATCAGTCCCCATCAGCGGTATCCATCGAAAGTCGCGCCGAATCTTGTGGTACGGGCTCAGTATCCTCTTGTGAGTCGTCCGATAGAGGGAAGGGATACGAAAACCCCAACGATGAGGTTCAGAAAATTCCTGCTGCCATGCGAGAGCACCGCTCGCCTGACGACACGAGCAAGGCTCGGGTGAGCTTCATCGAACTTCAGGTGCGTTCTGAATACGAGATCATCGACATTGCGCTATGCGAAAGACAAACATGGGTCTCATTGGTCAACACCGATGCTGACACCAATCAAGGTATTAAAAAAATTCCTATCGCTCGATCTGGATTCCTCTTCCTTCTCCAGCCCCGCATACCTTCGTGCCGGATTTGCGGGTCTCCGACGGAATGGAACACCTCTAGCACATTGAGAATATGCGACCGATATTACCACAAAGACTGTTTCTTGGTTCGTACGATTAGTTCCTGGAATCGATTAGCTCCTTTGAGAAGGTTTGGAATTCCGATCGATCCTCTTCCCAGAGTGATTCCCGAGATATGAGCCAGTTCCTTGTTTCCACAGGGGGCACATTCCAGTTGTGCCGCCACGCGCGTTCCTATGGGAGGCAGATCCACTCCCGAGAGCGACAAAAAGACCAGAGCTCGAGTCCGCGCTTGTAGCCGAAAGGTTTTCTCGCGCATAAAGAGGTTTCTGGGAGAAACTTCTCGGAAAATATCGTGTTTACCGACCACCCGAGCTCGTTAAAGCTCGCACGAAGCACGCAGAACTCCATCAGGGTCTGTGCTGAGTGAAACCGTCTTATGGAACCACCATTTTCCTGACTGTTGTTGATTATGCCTAGGAGACTTTGTTCACCTCTTTGTTCCCCATTCCCTAGACTCGCATAATTTTATAACGGATTGAGTCAATCATACATAATAATAACTGACATTGGTTGAGAGACGCGCTGAATATTTCTGACGCTCTCAAATTCAGTATCGAAATGAACTCTTATCGTAGACTCGAAGCAGTTTCTCGGTACGCTCGAGTCTCTGCCATAAATGGACCCCCAATAAAGACAGCTTGTTTTAATTTAATACAACCCATACGGACTTTTCGATTTGAGCTGTTCCCGTGACGAAAATTTCCGATCAGGAATGACGTGTTTCCAATAATATCAAAGGGCTTCATTATTCAACCCAGCTCCTACAGGAGATCTTTGGCTACCTCGCTCCCCATCGCAGCCTGAACAACGTAGCGCTCGTTTGGAACGAGAGCTGCCGAACCTTGTCGTGTGACACTGAAGCGAAAGGCGGTGCTGGATCCCGCGCATAATTCGGCTCCTGATGTCTCGTAGGACTGTGCGCTGGACATGTTACACGTCATCCGCGCGCAACATCCCACGCATGCCCGATGGCGTCTGCAGAGACGTGATATCTATCAACTACCCGTGTATCGATCCGCTGACGGACTCTGGTGATCTCGACTGCTGAGTGCACGGAAAATGAAGGTGAGCTATCTACACGGCGAGTTTCCCGGAAGGCGTCCGACCGCGGGGCCCCTCCCGATATTATTCCCCGTATACATGCTGTCGACACTAGGAAGATCCCCGAAGATCGCGAGGAAAGCTACGCTACGTGCGGGCTCGATTCCAGGGACAAGCCGATGCTCGCGCACTTCAGCTGCCTCCGAAAATGAGCGGTGCGGAAGACATAGATATCGGAGATTTCGTCATGCTCGATGACGACGGAGACAGTCCCACGACACCAGAGTCCAGACACGGTTCTACACGTCAGGTTCCTCTATATGGAACACAAGGGGGATACTCAAGCACTGCGCTGGCAGAGAGCCGGGCAAGGCGGTGGAGTTTGAACGAGCTTAGGCCTCTGTCTTCGACAATGGTCTCATCTGAGGGAAGAATTATGCCAGTCGGTTCGGACGGGTCGCTTCGAATCTCGTTCACTGACGAATGGGTGGCGGAACTGAAAGCGCAGCGGACGAGGGTCTATAGAACCCTTGAGGTAATTATTGGAGCTCGACGGAGCAGCTCATCAAGGACGTGATCCCGATTTTTCCGAAACGAGTTACCTACTCCCGATGTCACAGGAAGCCTTGGAAGAACAACCCGACGTCCGAGTGGTACAAAACTCCCCGAGAGGGAGAAGATCAGAAACAGTGCCTACATTGGGAAGCAACGCCGCGGAATCGCCGGTCGAGAGCAGAAGCCGCAGACGCAGCCGTGATCGGCAGGACTGTGAATCGTGTACTCGAGGGTGCTTCAGGGACGAGTCTCCGCAGGGAGGGGAACCCGATTTTCCCGGAGGACAGAGCGTGACTCCGACGAAGTGTGCGGACAAGGGAACAGCCTCAGATCCTCCCATTGAGGATTTCGAGAATTCTACACGCCCTTGTTGGGGTTCCTTCTCACACCTGGAGAAACCGGCAAGTCGTTCGCTCGCAACGTTCATGTCATGAGACGAAGACGGAGATAGTTAGTTTCTCCATCATTGACGCTGGGAAGTATGTTTTTTCCTGGCGGCGGGACCGTCTCTCTCAGCTAATCCATGTCCCTCTGCAGGGAGACGGACTCAAGTGCCTGCTTTGCTTTCGTCGCGTCTCGATATTTGACAGGGGCGTAATTTGCCTAGGTGGAGCTCACTATCACAAGTCTTGTATAACGGTGCGTAGTCATTCCTCTAGTCATCATTTGGAACATTCGCGGAACCCAAGGGGTAGAAAGGAATAACTCAGATTGTTTCTCCATAATGATGCAACCGTATGTTTCTGCAGGACGTTTACTTCTCGAGGGACGATCTGCGTGGTGCCCTTCTCGCCCGCCGTGCTTGGAGCAGGTTCGTTTCTCCACGCGAGCCTGAGCAGAAGCGTTCGAAAATTCAGAAATTTTTCAGAAGGGTCAAGAATATTCTCAAAAGGAGAGCAGCCTACCACGTCCCGACTTAAAATCGAATGGCAGAGCGGAAGAGCCGGAAGGCACGATCCCATCACTCGAGCTCTCGAGAAGCGAGCGGCAGACAGTAGCTGTCTACCTTAATTGGAGCACTCCTAGATCGAGTCTCTCATGCTTCTGAGTTAAGATTTTTGATTTCCCTCACACGTGAATCCAAAGTGGTTACGCTCACCTTCTCTTCGCGGAAGGGAATTTTACTTGATATGTTGCAGACATTGTGATTTTAGATGCGTTCTGAGGGAACCGAGCTTCCCCATGGTCTCTGTTGGACTCAATCCACTCGTAATAGCAGAATCCTAATAAATCTGAGCTCTCTACCGCCAGTCGTACCGATCACCCGAGCCCGTTGCATGAAACAGGTCGATAAAATCGGAACTGACTGTGCTCACCCTACAGTTATCAGCATTGAAGGATCGTTTAGCGGTGCGAATTTCGGAAATCGCTTCATTTTATTTGTAGACACACCGCGTTGTTGATGATAACAGATCGCGACCGAAAGTTCGTGTACTGTTCATAAGATCGATCGTAGTGCTTGTGGCGTTGTTATCAATCGATCTCACCGCCTGACTGACGCCCCCCATGATCTGCTGCAGCCTCGCTGCAGCTACCGGTATCGTATGAATCGTCAGGTCTTTGACAGCGTCGTAATTGCACTTTCTTCCGCCGTCCGTGTCCTCGCAGTTATGGAATCTCTGTTCGATTTCGAAGAAACTGAAAAACATTACACCGATCTTTGAGCGACCCTCTTATTCTGCTCCCTCTACTCGATTTTACTCGGAACCGCCATCATGTGACGCTCGTGTGAAAAAGTTCCCCGGTGCTCGAGCCCCAACTCACAAGAAAACGTAGTCCGCCACAAAATGCTTCAACCGTTTCTTGAAAGCCTCCTCGATACTGGCGGCCTTTTCCTTGACGCTCTGGGAACCCTGCTCGAGATGCAGACTGACATCGTTCGATACTTCACTCGTTCGTATCTCCAAAGCTTGCACGAAACACTGAGAAACTTGAAACAAAGACAACGCGAGGAAGCATTCGACCATGTCCCGAGTCCAATATGGAGTCCAGATCTATTTCCGCTCGGCTTCTGTCTCGATTTTTGAAAGTGAACTCACGCCTGATTGAACTTACTATTCTTAACTTCTCCGACGAATTTAGCATCCGCGTGGACAATTAGGAGGCAGGCGAACGTGAGGAAATATGAGGCATTCCGATCACTGGCACCGAGTCGACTCATTTTCCATGGGAATCGATATGGCAGTTCCACAGGACTCTGCGAATCAAACGGGGACGAAATTCGAGTTTGAGCGAAAATTTCCGTGGATGCTGGCGGACGCTCGCTGAGACCTGTCTTAATTGATGTGCTGAACGATTTCTCTACACTGATCGGAATTAGCCCCTAGGCTGGTCCATCAGGACCATTGTCTCTCAGGATTCAAGGAAGACAGGGTTTGGGACGAGGCAAAGAGTTGTAGCCTGTGAATGAATCAGAGCCAGATTTCTGATCCGGTGAGCTTTGTCACGAGTCTGAGAGAGGGCGAGCAAGTGAATGGTCGTATACTGCAGGATGAGGCTTCAGGGTCCGGCTGAGGGGAGAGAATTGGGGGAAAAATTTCCGTCTAGTCTTTTCTCGAAAACTGGGCTTCTACTGGAGAGAATTATCTTACAACTAGGCTTAGCTGATCAGAGGAAGGAACTAGGCTCACTCAGGAAGATAGGGACTCTGACAAAGGATTGTCTCTTGTCGGGGTCCAGGCCGGAAAACCTATTAGATGTGTGGAGAAGAAAACCATGATGGAGAGTGTCCCTCAGCGTGGGCTTTCCCATCCGATAAGCACATAGTCTCCAAAATGAAGCCGCTACTCGATAGACACTGCACCCCGCCCTGTCGACATGACTTGAGATTTCCTCGAGTGGCGAGGTAGTCCGTGACAATTGATGATGAAGTTCACTCGGTATGGCTAGATGGATTGTGCTTGGTCTGAGGATGTGTGCATAATCAATCGGTTGCTGAAGCTCGATCTGGTTCCGAGGCTGTCAGCTATCAGATACCCTCGATTCCCGACTGATACCAAAATCCGCTGCTCGGGTCTTTCGGTCCGAAATCCTTTCGTTGAACTCCGCCAGAGATAACCCAGGCAGCTTTTCAAACAGACGAGATACTATCGAGAGTTTCCAGCATTAATCCCTGTCCGCCTCCACTCAACAGGACTTCGGAATTGAATCCGCAAGGTGTACGGCCCAGGGAGCGATGATCTAGCAGCCGGAAGTAATGGTGAGATGCCATGAACAACCATCGTCGACCAGGTCTCCTTCTGTGCGATTCTGATGATCTATCCGCGTATGATGTTCGCATGACACTGTCATACATACAGACGAATGACGGGAGCGGGATTCTCCAACGATTAGTTCTCCCCTGAACGACGGAACGTTGTGATTGAATTCCAGAGATGGAGTGTCGGATGCACGGTCGATCGATAGCGGATTTCTACAGCTCTCTGACCCTCGGGAGAGTGCACGATGCGGAATCGTACGCAACGGATCCTAGTCGAGGCTCTCGAATGGTCACAAGACCAGATCAGCTCTCTTGGCTTCAGCTCCTCTTCGACGCGACGGAGTCCAGCTAACGTTCAGGTACATTCAAGAACCTGATGGTTTATTGATGGATGCCGTTCTCCGTTCCTCTTGGAGTTCTGGAACTGAATTCTTTGCCTGGGGGTCTCTCAAGCAGGCGCATTCTCTTCCCTTCAGCGGGTGCCTTCCCATGATTCTCGAAAATATCATCGACCAGGAACTCGTTTTTGGTGGAATCCGGTGCCTACGATTCTCGGTCTTTTGAGGATTGGCTTAATGCAAGTTAAAAAATCATCTTCTATGTATGATCTATGTATGATCACAACTATCCTCCAAGACACCGTCCCGCAAGTCGGAGTGAGCGGAAATATCAGCTACCGATGGAGCGTTGCGTGACAGCTAGAGGAATTGAAGAGTCCTGGAGCGACGGATTTCAGAGACCATCATTTATTCTCATGCAGTTGTGAAATTATCGATGACCTCGGGGAAATATGGACGCTTCGGTCTTCAAAAGCATTCTCTGGCTGCTTGCATGAGCTTGGGGAGCCCATCCATGATCATCTGGCCGAGATTCTTCATGGAGTCCATGCCCTTACCACCGAAGTCCTTGGTGTGGCCGTAGATGGCCTTGGATGCGGATTTGAGAGCGGCTGTAGCTTCCGAGCTGGCAGCGAGGATGATCTGGACTCTGCAGCGGAGGGCGCACTTGGCTTTGTTGATCATGCCCTCCTCCTCATCGCAATTGGTATCGATTTCCTGCATTCTGGAAAAGAATCAGGGAGCTTTAACGCGAGTCTTCTCGAACATCAGGAAGTTTTGATCAAGAGCGTGAGGTAATCACCGTTTCTCCAAATTCTCCTGGAAGGTATCGCGGATTTTCTCCAGCTCGTTCCGGAGCGACTTTGTGAGCTCCTGCCTGTGTCCGTCGATTTTGTCGAATCTGTCCCCGATATCGTCGAAAGAGTTGTTCAGAGCAGTCTGCATGTGGTTCTGAATGCATTGGATGGCTGAAGACGCGAGCACACTCCGTTAGCGCCTGAACAGAATCCTGAACGAGTTCGGGGCGGCGTTCGACAGAGAGGGGATTGATTGAGGAGAACGACGGACTTCCAAAACCTCACTACTATGGAAACTCAGACAGAAATCAGGGAAGCGTGCCTACTCTCTTTGGCGTCGAAGGCTTGCGCCTGAGCGACCAGGAGGAAGGTAGCAATGACAGCGAAGGAGCGCATGTTGACAGGAAGGATTTGGCAGACAATAAGCTCCATTGATTTCTCACTCGTTTTATACACAGCCGCAGATCAGAACAATGCTCGTTCGACAACGTCTCGAGCGCACCTCCCAGCCCTCTCGCCATGATCGCGACGTTTCGAAAGCGATTCGCATCTGCTACCCGAAGGGAATCCTGAATCTCCTGAATTTCCCAGAGAGACCAGGAGTCTCGCGCTGGCTCAGGTGCTTTGGAAGTTGTCCTCGGTCGCCGATCACTCACAATCAGCAGAGAAAGCTGGTAACGAACGGAGCGAGAACTTATTGGGATTGTAAATTTGGGAGTACTGCCTAAGGTCCAGGATCTCGGGAGTAGGGATGCTGAGTTTCGCAGCAATTACGACCGATTCTGTGAGATCGCCCTGAGATTCGAGATTCCGGAGTCGAGCCTGAGATTAGCGGGAGTCTGATCCGGATCATCTCCTGTCTCGCTAGAGCGAGTCATACGTGTGCACACGAGCTTCCATGCCGCGGGGACAAGCAAGAGAAACAGTCCGTACACTCCTGTTTCTCGAAGTGACAAATCGGAGAGTCTATATCCGACTGAGTGTAAAGCCGAGACTTGCTCCTCTCGCCGGAAATCGGGATCGAACTTTCCCTCTTAGATGCTCCGACCTGACCCTCGTCGGGAGCTCCCTTCGGAGCCCCCGGTCCGGACTTCGCGCAAGGCGAATTCGGCGAGAAGATCATGATGATGAACGTATATCTCGATGACGGAGAGGGAGGCACCCTTCGATCACGCTACTTCCGCTATTCGCTCAACTACACGGGAATTCGAAGTTTTTCGAAACCTGGTCCGGTGTCAGAATCCGCTAGGCCGCCACAGACGGAGAGTGCGCCATCCATCAATAATGATTCCAGCCGACGACTCATTCGGAAGCGGGATCCAGAGAGGCTCGAGCAGGCAGCTGAACAGAATAATCTGCCTCAGAGACGAATCGATTTGCGGTGGATGTTCATGTCCCTTATTCGGGCGCATGGATCGGTAGAACACGATCAAGGCTTATTGTGCGACTGAAGAGCCTTCCGTTCCCCGGAGGCCTATCGTTAGAGGCGACCTTCGTTCTCAAAGATACCACTCTCCATCAACAGCCCCAGCTCTCGTCAGGAGCCCCTTGTCTGATGGGCCGATCATTTGCGGGACTTCAGGGTATGTACCTCTTCAACTCGGAATCGGGCACCACTCAAGCTGCTCGAGATCGTCTCCGCGTTCCGAGCGCAAACAGCACACCATTTCGAACTCCGTCCACGATGCAGGCAGTGGAGACTCACGCATACGGATCGAC